TCACAAGAGCACCAGAGCAGAAGTCACAAGGCCTGCATAGGTCTAGATGTGGGACCTTGCCACTGTGATCAAAGCAAGTCCAGGGCATCCCTGAGCAAACAGGGAGGCAGCGAAGTGCCGTGGCCACCTCTACCATCACCTCACCTGCATCCACTCGGATGGATTTCAGCTTTGAAGAGAGTTTCTTCAGTTTTGTTTCAGGATTTGGTGTGGTCTTGGAATCCAGCCTAACAAAAGCATATTTGGACTCTGGAGAGAGAGGTCACCCAACACCCTGAAGACAAGTCACTCAAACAAGCTCCTTACTTACCATCCTTGCAGTGGCATGCTCAGTGTGAAGAAGTGTTCTCAGTCTGTGTCCTTGGGACTGTCCACATGGAAATGTGCAGTCACGGTGCCTCACCCGGCATGCGGAGAGACCTCCCACACCTAGGGCTACCTGGTACTGTTCCTTCAGCTCTGAATCAGATCAGGGGGACATTGCCCATGGACAACCAGTCCTTGGGAGCCTGGCGAGGTGGCTGGTGTTTGCAGGGCAGCCTCCTTCCTTCCTGTAGCCAGCCCCCCCCCCCCCCCGCCCCGCCTGCTGCTCAGGCTCCAAGACCCTTTCAGCACCAGGCTCAGTGGCCCTCGGCTTGCAAAATGAGCATCAGCTCACTGGAAAACCACTTCTGAACATAGAGCTTGTTAAAACTTTATTTCTATTTTAATTGTGATAAAAAAACACAAAATTTACTATCTTCACCATTTTTAAAGCATCCAGCTCTGTGGCATGAATCACATTCACCATGTCGTTCTTCCGTCACCACTGTCCATCCCCAGAACTCAGTCTTCAAACAAAATTCCCCCATTAAGCACTAATTCCTGACTGGTGATGTGGCTCAGTGGCAGAACACTTGCCTGGCACACACAAGGCCCTGGGTTTGATCACCAGCACCAACAAAACAAAACCCAGTAACTCTCCACATCCCCCCTCCCCAGGCCTTAGAAGCCACCATTCTTTCTGTCTTTATGTGTCTGACTAGTCAGGGTTCCTTATATAAGAGGAATCTCACAGTGCTTATGTTTTGTGACGACTGGCTTAGCATAATGTTTTCCGGGTTCCTCCATGTTGTAGCATGCATCAGAATTTCCTTCCTTTTCAAGGCTAAATAATATTCTTCTGTGCTTTGTTTAACTATTTATCCATTGTTACACACTTGGGCTGCTTTAGTTTTTTGGTTACTGCAAATAATGAACAGAGTTGTACCAATATCTCTTCAATCCCTTATTTCAACTCTTTGGAAAGAAGAATTACTGGATCATGTGGCAGTTCTATTTTTAATTATTTTATTTTTTAGTTGTTGATAGACCTTTATTTTATTGTATTTATGTGCGGTGCTGAGAATTGAACCCAGTGCCTCACACATGCCAGGCAAGTGCTCTATCACTGAGCCCCAGCCCCCACCATTTTTAACTTTTTTAAAATATTTTTTTAGTTGTTGATGGAAGTTTATTTATTGATGGAAGTTTATTTATATGTGGTGCTGAGAATCGAACCCAGTGCCTCACACGTGCCAGGTAAGTGCTCTATCACTGAGCCACAACCCCAGCCCTCTGTTTTTAATTTTCCTTTTTGGTACTAGGAGTGAACCCAGGGTCGCTCTGCCACTGAACTGCACCCCCAGCCCTTTATATGTAATATTTGAGATAGGATCTAAGTTGCCCAGATTGGCCTTGAAATTGCAATCCTCCTGCCTTAGCCTCCCTGTTTGCTGGGATTACAGGCGTGCACCACCACACTTGGCTGTTTTTAATCTTTTGAGGAAATTCCACACTGTTTTCCATGGCAGCTGCACAATTTTACATTCCCACCAACAATGCACAAGAGTTCCAGTTGTTCCACATCCACACCAACACTTGCTTTTTTTTTTTGTCTGCAGTTCCCGAATAAGAGAACATTGTTTCATGTGCTTATTGGCCACTTGCATATCTTCCTTGGAGAAGTGTCTATTCAAGTCCTTTGCCTACTTTCTATCAGGTCATTTTTTGTTGTTGGGTTGCAGGAGTTCTTTATATATCTAGTCATAGGTACATGAATATATATATATATATGCATATTCATAGATATGCACACACAAACATGGACATGCACATATTCTGGCAATCAGGGGGAACAGGGAAGGGTAACTCACTGGCTCAGGAGAACCAATTTTTCTCCTTCTCTCTTCTTTGGCTTCTCTGTGAAAAACCGTCACCATCCTGAAGTCACTTACTTGTTCCAGCCCCTGCAGACCCGCATTCTGCAGAATCCAACCATTGACCTCTGCCGACAGTGTCTACCTGCGAGAGCAGAACGAGGCCCTGCAGTCAGACTGGGCATGGGGTGGGGACCTTAGCCAAGTTACTTGGTCCCTCTGCACATTTGTGTCCCTCTGTGGAGGAGGGCAGATAAGGACAGCGAGGCATTTGGAAAGCCTGCTGGGCCTGACACGTGAGCGCTCAGTGTCTTTAGCCATTGTTAGAATTAGCATCTCTGTTTTCTTTTGGCTCAAGGAAGCCCTGTTGAGCCCCTGGTTCGTCTTGGTTGAGGGTAGGAGGTGGCATGGTAGCAACGTCCTGTCCCCAGGGGCAGCACTGCTCAGACTTGGGTACTTACCACACCTCTGCATGTTCTTACACATTTACAACCCATGCGACCCTAAGTGACAGGTTAGCACCTGCTCCACCCACCCAGCGCTAAGTGCCTTTTTTTGGGGGTGTGATGCTGGGGATGGAATTCCGGCCTTATGCACACGAGCAGGCGCTGTGCCACTGAGCTGTACCCCAGCCCCCTGTGGTGCTTTTCGTGAGGCTCCAGCTTTGTATGAATGTATCACTCGGTGCGCGTCCTCGCTCTTCACTCAACGGCAAGCTCCTGAGAGTTACTAGTGTTGGTGTCGGCTGTTGGAGGCCATGTATTTTTAACTGCCTTTAAGTATTCCCTGGGTGAGTGTATGACGTGTCCATCTCTAGTCATGGACATTTGGCCCCTTTTCAATTTATGAGCATGTGCACTCTTTCTCCCCAGGCCTCATCTTCGTCCTCACTGATGACTGAGCACTTACTGGGTACGATGCGCCAGGCCAGCCGCACTCCTCCACGGGCATCATAGGAGGGAGCAAAGTCCCTCATCGAGTTCACGTGGAAAGAGGCCAAGGGTGGATTCCGCCCGGGGCTGCCTGTCGCTAAGGTTGATTCCCCTGGCCACTCTGCCTCTCCAGGAACAAATGCCCAGTGTGACACCGAAGGGCATGTACAGGCCCCTCAGCTGACTCTGCTGAAGTCTCTGGCGTGGACCTGGGCCTCTGGAAGGGCAGGGTGACAGCTGCAGCGCAGGGGCCCATCTTGGCATTGGGACCATGCGGCTAGAGATGGGTGCTTTGAATAAGCTTAGGTTGGTTCAGACCCTTCCCCTCAGGACAGAGCACCACTGGAGACCCCTGGGGAAGAGCCACTGGCTTCCTCTGGGCTGCACTAAACAGAGAATAGGACCTTGGCCCGAATGCAAGGTGCCACTCTCATCTGCTCTTGGTTGTCAGTGAGGGAGGAGGGAGAGACAGAAGTGATGGAAAGCCAGGTCGGAAGGATGTCAGAAAGAAATCAGAGACTAGAGAGCCGTCCCCTGGGCTGCAGGAACAGACAGCCCTGGGGAGAAAGAGCAAACAGGATCTACTTTGCTTTAATGTGAACTTAGTTTAGAACAATTTAGAATTTAAAAACTCCAATCTTGGATCTTATTCTATGGCGTTTTTGTTCCTGGTGAAGAAACGACTGACAAAGGGTGTCAGATGCCCGCCAGGAGAGTGAGCTTTGTGAGTTTCTGCATCTCTCTGGGCCTCAGCTTCTTATCTGTAAACTGGGCGAGGACCCATCTAAGGACAAGGTTTGTGAGTGGCCTGGTATGGTTGATAAACAGTTGTTGTCATCGTCACTTCCTTACAAGGCAGGTCTCACCAGGGATATGGCAGTACAGATTCTAGCAACCAGCCTCGAGTTGTTAAATTTCTCCATCTTATAAAGGTGCCTTTGTCCATTTTCTGTTCCTATGATGAAATACCCGAGGCTGGGTAATATACGAAGAAAACGGGTTTATTTAGCTACCATTTTGGAGACTCGAGGGCATGGCACTGGCCTGGGATCAGCTCTGGTCAGGACCTCATGGCTAATAGCATCATGGTGGAACACTTGAGTGAGTGATCGCATGGCAAGACAGGAAGCCAAAGTCCTAGGAAGGGAATAAGAACCCTACTAATTCCTTCCCAGGGCAGCACCCTTTCTCCGCCTAGTTATTTCTCACTAGCCCCCAGCCCCCCACCCCGCTCCGGCCTCCCAGCACCGACACACTGAGGACCAAGGTCCCAACACATGAACCCGTGGCACGAGCTCAAACTCTACCCAAACCACAGCAGAACAGGATTTCAGAGGCCCCAAGGACAAAAGTGGAAACCCAAGCTCGTCCAAAAAGCTCCACTGCCCTGTGCCCGGCATTCCAGCAGATTCCCTGTGTGACCCTGACTCTGATTTCAGGGTCTAGTTACAAGCTGGACCAACCTCACCACGGTCTCCCTGGGCGGGGGGGGGGGGGGGTCCCAAGCAAGTTTTAAGACCTGCCGGACTTGCACCAGATTCCAACCTGGAAGCAGGTCATCACACGCATGGGCTAGGAGTGGGGGACAGTGACACTGGTGAAGGGATGCCCTGAATACAGGGGCACCATGCTGGAGTGGCATCTGATCCCTGCAGTGTCTGAGCAGAGGCCTCTGCAGAGGGTGGGACAGGGAAGGACTGCCTCATTTCTAGGCAGTGCAGAGGCAAGATCCGTGGATTGTCCCAGAACCTGAGATGGCTACAGACCTAATGCAGGCAGCAGTGACCTGGATCTGGAAGGCTTCGAGCCACAACATGGGGTGGTGGCCTCCTCTGCATGACCATCGTGCAGCCTTTCTCCTTCTACTCCCCAAAGTAAAAGCAGCCCGGGGGCCCTGGACAGCAGCAGTGGGCGCTGATTCTTTATTTATTAGACTCAAGTGCTTCAGTACAGAACGGTACGGAGGATACATGTTTGTGCTTCAATACTTTCAAACACTGAGATTCTGATAATTTCAAGGTAAACAAGTTTCAAGACAGACTAGCTTTTTTTTTTAAAATATCCTTTTGATAAATTATTTTTTATATAAATAACAGAGAAAGGAAAACCAACATGTTTGACAAACAAGGTCCTAAAGCGTGAGCGTTGCTTGGTCGGAGGGAGGGGACAAAACAAGCGGGGACCGTAAGAAACCAACCAGCGCAGGTCCTAGGGTTCTGTCCTAAGGAGGCAGGATCTCAAGGGGAGAAGGCGACAGGAGACCTGGGAGCTAAGTAGAGTGCACAGGAGATTCCAGAGCCAGCAGGAGAGGACGCCACAGTGACAGTGCGTCCAGGACTGTTCTCCAAGGAAGGTGGGCGGGCGGGGCAAGCGCACATCACGTTTGCAAGGACATCACGAGACACAGTAATATACACACAGTCTGCGGGAGGCAAGGGCGGCGAGGGCCGGGGCAGGGGACATTTTTTGTGACTTCCACTGTCATTATATTTCACGACAACAGCAGCAGAACGACGTGTGCTCGTTCCTGAGACGGGAGCTGCCGAGACCTGGGGACGGGCGCACCTCCAGCACCTGCTCTTCCCCTCTGCTTCACAGCGACACGATTGCACAGGAGAAAGACGATGGGCCTCTCACAACCACGATGACATATGACTGCACACCACGCAAAATAAAGTACCACAAAGTATCTTAAACTGAGGACAACCTGACAAGGCTGCGTGTGGAGTGGGGACAGCGTCAGCATCAGCCCGACGGGCCCTTCTCCACGGCTGTCAGGAACCACCTGTTCCAGTCCAGTCCTGACCTTGAACTTGACCCAGGCTGACCCTTCTGGGGAACAGGAGCTGTGAGGGGTGATGCCCCAGGCAAGGGACCTGGTCAGTGGGTCAACCCTAACTGCTTCTCCGTCTGGGGAGGAGTCTGCTTTTCATTGTCTTGTGCATAGTGACCTAGGCTGGGAAGGACCTTTCTCAGGGTCACACAGTGTGGCCACAGGCCTGGGGAAGCAGGGCCACACTGCGGAAGACACCAGGGGACACCCAGCCTGGCCTCGTGGACACTCCCAGCCCCACCCACAGCTGCATCTCTGGGGCACAAGCTGGGAGGGAAAGCAAAGAGCCGGTTCCATCTCAGCCTTGTGAGGTGTCTGTCCCCTGATTGTCACTTCCCAGCTTATCTGGATGTGAGCAGACACCCGAGGGGTAGGAACAGGAGAGGAGGTAACAGATTAATCCTCAGTGTGAAATACCTGAAGGACACAGACAGCTCTGCGATTCCCAGCAAGAACAGGAAAAACCCAATACACATTTTTAAAAGGCCCAGACTTCTACCTTTCCGTACTCGAGCAGTTTGCACGTGACGAAGGTGGCTATGTACAAGGTCACAGGATCATAAATGAGGGGGAGGAGTCCATTCATTCTCAAGAATTCCAAAATTTCTGCAGCTTGCACAGGAACTTCTTGTAGGATACATATATATCTTTTTAAAAAACGCAATGCATTATTCTCGGTTCACACTGGAGGAGGGCATCATTAACACGAGCAGCGCGGGCCGGCCAGGGCGTGCAGGGCGGGGAGGCAGCAGAGAAACCGGCCTGCGCTAGGGGCTCAGAGCAGTGGGAGGGCGCGGCTTGGAGGGGCGGCTTATTGTTTAACTGCTTATTTCTTCTTCTGTTTTGTTCAGTTTCTTCAGCGTGTCCAGCAGTTTCTGTGGGGTGAGAATGTGCGTGGATCCTGGGGAGGCAGAGAAGACAGTGAGCTCACCTGCTCTAGCTCCCCATCCTCCTCTCCTGCCCTTCTCCACGCCCAGATCTGCACCCATCCGCCTCCCCCACCCTGGTCTGGGTCCATGGAAGCCTGCAGGGGGCTGGGGCTGGATGTCTAGGCCCCTGTCACAGGAGGCCAGGGAGACAGCGAGGGCTGTGGCAAAACAAAATGCATCCTCTGGCTCAGCAGGTCCCAGGCTGTAGCAGGGAACGAGCCACCTCTCCTCAGAGCCAGTACCAACTGTCAGGTGACAGGGTGGCGGCATTTCTCAATCTCAAGGTGAGGCCAGGGAGAGAAACTCCAAATGATGTGGCCACGGGAAAAAGTTGAGAATGGGCTGGGGTTGGCAGGGGTCTGTGTGTGCCTGGTTGCCAAGGACATGGATGGGGTGCACTGACCTCGGAGCCAGCTGATTGGCGCTGCCTGCCGCGGGTGGGACCTCAGGTGTGAGGGAAAGGGCGGGGACCTGAGGCCTTACCTTGCAGAGACCGCGCATTGTAAGAGATTAGAAATGCTTGCAAAAGTTTAAGCTAATGGAATTAGATATATTTCTAGTGCAAAAGTAAATAAATAAATAAATAAATAAAAATTAAATAAATAAAAAATGAAGCCCTTTTTCATAAGGAGAGAAAGAGATCTAATAAGTGCAGTAAAAAATGATGCATGGATCGTGTGATTTGGCCATGGACTTATCAAACAGAACGGAAGTGACTGGGTGATGTGTGAGCATGAGACCTGCCGCATGCAGCAGTGGACTTCAAAGAAAGATCCTGGTGGGAAAGAACTAAACAAAAGAGGTCCGTACTTGAAAATGTGCCTCCCTGGAGACCTGGGCAAGGGAGGGCCTCATGGGAGAGGAGGAGTGGAAACACAGGAGCCAGATTTACATTTCAAGGGCAGGCAAAAGAACGCAGTGGACTGGCTTCTGGTTGTGCCTCCACTAGGATGCCGCTCACCACTGCTTGCTGCGCTGACCTGGAGCTGTGGGAGCTGGGGGCTTCCCTGGTGGGTCTAGAGCAGCAGGAAACTTGCAACACTCTCTCTGGTGTGAGAGAAATTTTCAACATCCTGCTGTCTGAGGTCCAGGCCCCAGGCCCCACTCGCTGCTCTGGGTGAGGAGCCTGTCCTCGGTTACTTCCCAGGGATGCAGAGCGTGATGCCCTGAGCACGCAGCCTGCCCTGGCCCCTGCGCTCTCTGGCTAACTGCTGTCTATCTGCAGGCCTGAGGCTCCTCGAGCAGTGACACCCTGGGTGTTTCTACAGCACCCCTTCCCACATTCACTGTGGGGCGCTTAGGAATCTTCTACTAGTCCTAAAGGAGCTCAAAGGCAAAGAGGAGCAAGGACAGAAATGTTTGAGGCTTGTCTCCAATTCTGAAGCAGAAACAGTTGCCAGAAGGAGGGCCTCCAGATCCCAGCTCCCGCGGCCGGCCGGCGTGTCTGGATGTGAAAGCCGGACTGGATGCAGCACGGGAGGCGCTAGGGTTTCCTGCGTGCACCTGCCAGAGAACACTGTCCCCAACGCCCCGCTCCCCAGCCACCCAAAAGGGTTCCAGGCAACAAGAAGGCAGACTCGATTTCAAGGAGAAATCCAAAGGGGTTCCTTTGATCAGATGCCGATCCGAAAGTGCTCCCCCTGGTTTACATGCAGATTCAGGATTGAGCAGGAACTCCTGCTGGAGAATTTTCTGACATTACCTGATCACTGAGCATTCCCAGTCTTGATTGAAGAACAGCTCTAGGACTTAGCCTTGGGGACAGCCCATGAGGCCACTAAGGCCCTAGCAACAGGCCCATTCCTGGGCCTTCACTTACTGGTCTCTTTAAAGGGACCAGGCTGGTTGGCATTAATCCAAATCACCTGGAAGCCAAAGCCTGACGCGCAGGGCTCTGTATGGTTCTAACAATGTCCACCATGAATGCTACCAACAACTGGGGTCCCTAAGTCACATGTTCAAATATTCTCAATTTGAATCCATTGGTGGCTGACCACACAGCTCTCCAGAAGACAGTAGCAGGTGGGTTCACTGCTCTGAGGGTCCCTGCTGTTCCATGTCACAGGTTGACTGTGAAACGTGAGCAGTGGTTTCCTAAGCCAGCGGAGGCCTAATCAAATGCTATCCCCACATTCCAAAGCCATGGGCCAGACACGGAGAGCTGTGACGGGAGAAAGTCTTTCCCTCCACACTGACGGGGTCTGACACCAAGAGTTCTCAGACTAGCTGGTCTGGCTGTCCCTGCATCGGCCTGGAACAGATCTACTGACTTGGAATACCCAGGAAGGCGCCTGAGGATGGGCACATTTAAGGGCAAGCAGGTGAGCTGAGGTTCCAGGGCTGGGGCGGTGACCAGCCCACACCTTCAAACATATGTGGCAAGAAGAAGGTCTGAAGGTGGGCTGGTAGCATGGCAGGGCCTCTCGTCTTTTGATTCTGGGCGCCTTGGGGCTCCTGGGAGGGGAGGGGACGTGCAAGTGAGGCTCAACAGCAGCTGGGCTCTGAACCAGGTCCAGACCTGAGCCCTGCTGTCACCTGCCCCCAACGTAGAGAAACAAAGGATTCAACATAAAACCACAAGCAGAATGTGCAAGCCAAGAGGTCCAGCCTAGCCCGGGAGCTCTCCCATTTGCTTCTCACAGCCTCCTGCACGTCCCCTCAGGAGTGGTATTTTAGCCTAAATTAACTAAAGAGATGGAACCCAATCAAAAGATGTCATTTGTGGACAACTTAGAGGCGTGACTGGGCGACTGCAAGGAGACTCGGTGGACCTGCACTTCTGCCGTCCACACTGGCTCTTTGTGATCCAGACCTGGGGAAGGTGCTTCAGTGACAGGAGAGAGGACAGAGTGAGGGACTGTCACCGTGCACAATGCCTGCTGGGGGCATCTCAGTGCTGGGCAGGCGGAAACTCATCCCTCTTAAAAGACAGACCAACACAAAACTGGTATGGAGGAGCGAACTCAAGCTCACTGGAGACTGCGTTGTCTGCAGGACAGCAGGAGGGCAGGTCAGACTACCTGCTCCCTGACCTCTGACCTTGCTGGTACTAGGTTCTGTGTTTTGCTTTTTTATTTATTTATTTTTTTTGGTGGGAGTGGGGATTAGGGATTGAACCCAGTGGTGTCTTCTACTGAGCCGCCTCCCCAGCCCTTTGTATTTGTTCTTATTTTGAGTCAGGGTCTCACTGACTTGCTGAGGGTTTTGCTAAGTTGCCCAGGAACTTTCAATCCTGTCTCAGCCTCCTGAGTCACTGGGATTGAAGGTGAGCGCCACCTTGCCTGGGGCCTCACCGCTCCTTAGCTGAGCTCTGTAAAACCCACACTGTCTGGCAAACTATTTCAAAAGCCAAGAATATATAACTAGAGTCTGTCTACACCCGCTCTGTGCTGACGGCAGCTGGCCCTCTCTGGGGTCGTGATGGAATGTCAAGGAAAGCTTCTGCAAAGGAAAGGCTGCTTCTTCAGGAGCTAGAGAGAGGTGTGGTGCGATTCTTTTAGGTCCTACAAGTGTTCTGCTGTCAAACATTTGTGTGTCCTTCTGGAAGTCTTCAAATATATCTTGCAAGCAAATGTCACACACCTGCTTGCCACCTGCACACAGGCCGGGAGCCTGATCTAACAATCATCGAGCTGCTTCTAGGGAATACTCTCTCTGCTCCCTCCCTCCCTCTCTTCCTTTCTAACAATTGCTTTTATCCCTACTTCCCCCCATTGGCCTTGCTGTCTAGAGGAAGGTGAGCCCAGGAAGGATGGGGGCCAAGGCCAGGGCTGTCACCAGCTCCCTGACCTGGCTACTAGCTGCTGCACTCAGCTTTTGGCTCCCTGGAGCGTGCCAGCCTCTGCCAAGGAGAGGGAAGAGGAGGAGATAAGTGGTGGCCTCTCTTCCTCCCTTCCAGATGGAGCTCCATTTTCTTTATGTAAGTGAGCATCTTCTGATGTCACCAAGCCAAGGTTCTGAAGGGCCATTCTCCTGACACTCACGAGAAAGAGCACTGGGGTGCTGCAGTTCATCCCCCTTGTGCTCATATACAGTGGCCTGAGTACCTCTGTCACACAGGTACTCGTGGGGGAGCAGAGCTGGAGTCCACTTCTGGCTCTCAGCTCAGGTCACTCTCCACTGCTTACAGGACTCTGCCCCCTGACTCATGGGGCCACGACTTGGCTCAGGGCAAGTGGAGTATCAAAGTCAGGGACACAAAAGGTGGCCTATCCCTGAGCATCAACAAGGATGCAACACTAATGCTGGGACAGAGGACTTGTGATCAGTCTGCCACTGCCACCTAAACACATTATCGGAGTTTCCTAACAGTGGAGGGTGGAAAGAGGAAGGAATGAGGACATTGTCAAAAATTTTTCTCTCTCTCTCTTTTCATTTTTTGCAGTACTTGATATTGAACCCAGGGGTCCTCTACCCATGAGCTACACTCCCAGCCCTTTTTATTTTGAGACAGGATCTTGCTAAGTTCCTTGAACTGGCAGTCCTCCTGCCTCAGCCTCCCTAATCGCAGAGATTACGGGCATGCGCCATCACACTCAGAATGATGGTGTTCTTTAAAGCCCCACAGAGCGTCAAGAGTGAATTTCTCCAAAAAGGCTCCAGACCTTACCAAGACACATCAGAGAAGAGAGGGTATAATTATTTGATTCTCCAAAGATCCACAGGGGAATTAAAATAAAAGCACTTTCTTAGCAAATGGCTATAAAGTTCCATTTCAGCAGAGGAATTTGAGACGGAAGTCCCTCCCACTGGGGACTGGCGTGCACCAAGCGCACGTGAAGCAGCTCATGACCAACCAATACTTAGCTCTTGTTCCTTGGGAAGTACCCGTCCTACGGTACTGGCACGTCCAGAGTCTATTCTAACGCTTCCAGCCAAGTCTTCCTCAGCAGCAGGTGCCCCTGGGTCTCCCGGGAGATCTGCCTGCTGGACATGGCCCCTGCCGCGGGTCTGCACTCTCACCCTCCCAAGCCAAGTCACCACCAGGATGCCTACATTCCCTGAGGGTGCCCACAGGGCCACTCCTGGCGGCAGGCTTGGCATGCCTCAAGTGCCCCTCTGCTTCCAGCTCCCTCTCTGAGGACTTTCCTGCAGTCACTGTCACTTTGATTTATACCCAGTGGCCTGCAGCTGTCCAGCTGGCAGCGTGTCACCCAGGGCATGAGTGAGCTGGCAGGTCGGAGCCCCAAGGGCTTCAGGGCAGGGCGCGAGGCACACTGAACACATTTTCAATCGGCGTTAAGAACTGCAAGCATTTTCTTGTTAAAAGAAAATCAAAGAAATAAGAAACTAAAAAGGGGAAAAAAAAAACAACCAAAGAAAAAGAGTGACGGAATAATCAAAGAAAACCCTTCAGAGTGGAAGAGTTTCTTTCTGTAATAAGCTGCTTTTACTTTGTTTCTTTGGCTCTCACTCCATTGTTGGAGCCTGATCCTCAAAAGATACCCTAGAGGACTCCCTGAAGTCGGGGTGTCTCAGGTCCATGAGAAATTTGGTGGGAGTAAGAATGTGAGTAGAACCTGCGGGAGAACAGAGGCCAGCTGACTGCTTGAACAAGGTACGTCACAGGAGCATGCCAACTTAGGCCTACACTGTACGCAGCCAATGAGGCGTGAGGAAGCAAGATGCACAGCTTGCGCACACGTGCATGCACACGCGCACACAGAGGCAAGGTGGCTGGCGTGCAGGAAGCAGCTGAGGCCACACAGCGGACATAGGCTGTCTGCACGAGGCCTCCATGAACCTGCATGGGCGACATCCTAGCCCCAGGCTCCCCCTCCCCTCAGGGAAACTCAAAGCAGGTGCGAAGGGGAAGGGGAAGATCACACCCAAAGCCTGGCCGTGACAGCGTCTGTCCAGAAAAGCTGTGTTTGAGCTCGGGATTATCCAACACATTCATGCAACACAGGCAAGCAGGGGACAGAGAGCTGATCAGGGGCCTGCACCACAAAAAAAGAAATAATTACAGGGAGGCCTGGTGGCCAGACAGGGAAGCCCAGGGAGCTGGGAGGGTCGTGGTAGTGAGAAGGTGGTGGACCCCGTCTGGTCCATCTTGAGGAACCCAGGAGCAGTCATACGGATTGGTCTATGGAGCCTGCTCTCTTGGATGGCTTTGGGGGCACTATGACCCGGCTGCACCACATTGGAGAAATAAAACTGATACCTGTTACTGAGATACTAACTGAGCCTGGGGTTATGACCAGTAGTGGGCACCTATGGGCAGAAGTCAGAGAGGCCTTCCTTCTGGGGCAGTTCAGGGTCTCCCCTGCTGCAGTTCACATGAAAGTGGCCCGTGAGGCAGTCCTCAGGCCCTGGAGAGCCTGAGTCCCCACTGGGAGCACAGCACACCCCTTCCTAAGGGTCCAGGTCTCTGACTTCGGGCCTTGCTCAGCACGGGCGTGTTCCCGCTGAGGATGGGGCTTGGCCAGGCCTGTGCATGTGGTCGCCTCTTGCCAATCAGTAGCAAGAGGGACACCTGGACAGGGGCAAGTCCATTGTGTTAAGGGCAAGAAGGGACACAAGGAGGGTGACTGGAGAAAGCAAGATTTCTCCCAGGTCATGCTTCCCCCACAGACCTAGAAACTGCAGCGGCTTCTGGAGGGGAAGGAGGAGGCCACTGGAGCCGCTGGTTCCTCTCCTAGAAACCAGCATGAGACCCTGGAAAGGCTGCGGCAGCGAGAACCCGGGAGGAGCCAGACGGAGGAGCCCTCAACAGAACCCAGAGATCAGGACGGGGTTCCAGGTGGTATCTTCCCGCAACATCCATCATTCCCCACTGAAGTAGGGGAGGAAGGCGGTAATTCCCACCTCCTCCGCGCGTCTAGGCCAAGAGGCCCGACGCTAGGACACTGCCACTCCCACCTCGGGCCCAGCTGGAGGCTGCAAGTGTGGGTGCTGAGCCCTGTGTGGCTGCATAGCAGATGGAGGCTGGGAGAGGGCACGACACTGGCTGCAGGCGACCCCACTTGGCAGTGGCAGAGCGCATTTGGGCCTGAGTCTGCTGGACTCTCTGATCAGGCACTTTCCACCTCACCACGCAGATATGAGGAAGGGACAGTTAGCCCCTCAATTTCTGCCACCCACAAACGGTTACCTAGGACTACGTCTTGCTGGGGCAGTGCGGAACCTAAGACAGGGTGCGACACCAAAGCGTGGGATGGGTCACAGTGCGATGAGGCAGCTGCTTGCTCCGGAGCCCATGCGCTACTCACCTATCAGCACTTCCCACTTGCCGTTGGCCTGGGTCACCTCGTAGGCACAGCGCATCTCGTTCAGGCTCACGCCCCCCAGGATGAAAATGATAAGGCGGGGCCCGCTGCGGTACTCCCCTGGGGCCTTGTTCTTGTGCCAGTGCCCGTAGCGGGCGCTGAGGGAGAGGAGAGGAGAGGAGAGGAGAGGGGCGAGGTGAGTGTCTGTGCTCACAGTCCCCGCGCTGCAGACCCCGCGCTCGCGCTCACGTGTACACCGGTGCCGGTGCCGCGTCCAGCACAGAGCAGCCATCTGAGAATTGTCGCTTTCTGGGCTGCAGCGCAATCTCTGAGCCATCGGCTGCACAAAGATCATTACTAGCATCTCTGTGGTGACACTGTCACTCTCAGACACGTGTGCAGCCGGAGGTTCAGCTCAGCTCAAGTTCAGCAGCTTCACAGGCACAACGAGTGTATCTGGGACACTGAGGGCACCGAGCAGCAATGACAGTGTCTGAGGTCTGTCTCCATACTGTCACACGGATCTCCTGGGAAAACACATTCTGCCCAGGGCTCATGAGGATTGGTTCTCCCAGAAAGAGGCCGTCTATGCCCACCTTGGGGCCACAGTTTAACAGGGTGGGTGGGGGAGAGCAGCAGGTCTGAATGGTGAAGTGACAGAGCTCAGTGTCATGGGGTCAGGTACTGGAAGGCCCAGAGCCTGTCTAGGCTGCATGGGGGAGGGGGGGCCAGAGCCTGGCAGCCCTTTGACAGGCCTGTCCCTGCACAGGGACCTGGGAAGCAGGTGGAAGTGGCGGCTGTTAGGACAAGAAAACAGGAAAACTGAAAGGAAGGGTGGAGCCTGCTCTGACACGGCCACACTCCACCGTCCTTCAGCTCGGGAGGCACTGCAGGCCCTGCCCAGGCAGGAAGGCCCCGGGGCTCTGTTCGGCCAACCTAAAACTCTCCGCCTCCCTCCCTGGCAATCTGACATCCCGCGGCTCCCGAGCAGCCTGGCCCCAGGACTGCTTGCCATCAGAGGGGGTGCCAATGCCACAGATGCCACCCAGGTCCTGGGAAGGGGTAAAAATGAAGACAGAGGAGAGGCGGGAGAGAAGACAGCGGGACGAGCATGAGAGGACAGAGGGACTAAGAGCATCTGCCCTGGAAAACCGCAGTCCCCAGCGTCAGATGCCCTTTCTGGAGCCACTAACAGTGCTGTCTCCAGCTTGTGTGCTCGGCTCAGACTGTTCTCAGGAGCCTCTGCGTGGACACTCCACGTTCTGTGGAGCCAGACAGTAGGTGGACTGTTTCCACACCTGGGCTGTCAGGGGCAGGGCTGCCATGAACCTGGTCTACTGACTTTAAACAGGGAGGTTAGGGAAGGCCTGGGAGGCGACTCTTGATGGCCGACCTGAAGAAGACAAGAGCCAACTTGTGGAGACAGATAATTTCAGGCAAAGAGAAAAGCATGGGCAAAGGTCCTGAGGCAGAAACAGGCCCAGCTGGTTCAGGGACGAGCAAGGAGGCTGCATGGCCATGTGGAGTGGGCAAGGAGCAGTGGAGGACGAGCCCGTGAGGAGCAGGAAGCCAGGGGGAGCCAGGCTGTGGTGAGAGCACAGTGGAGGGAGGGCCCTCATGGGTCCTACCATCTCACTGCGACCAGGCGTCTCCCTCGCCTTTCCCGTGTCCACGCACCTGACAGCGGTGGTGCTGAAGGAGGCAGAGGAGCGGGTGGAGATGTACGGGTAGTGCTTGGTGTCAAGTTTGTCCTCGATTGTGTCCTGGGGAGAAGAAAGGCAGAGGTCAGGCCTTCCCTGTGCTTGCCAGGGCTGAGGGAACCACCGCTGGCTGAGGAGTGAGCGGCAGAGCCATGGCCCCCCTCCCCCGCTGCAGTCCCCAGAGCCACACAGGGCTCCTCTGGGCACCGGCTCCACAGCCAGCTGTGACGCCGACATAGCTGCAGCCCTTCTCTTTAAGTGTGAAAAACAAAAAAGCATTCCTTTTTCTTATTTCTTTCTAGTTTATTCCCTTTTACAATCTGCTGGAAGCTACATACAGACCTGGTGTCCACTAAATCCCTGGCACTGGCCACCAGCCTGGCGGGGCTGGACCCACAGGGCCTCTCCTCGTCTCAGCACTGACTGTTTGGTAGGTACCCGGGAATCCACACTCCTCCTACCGCCACCTTGTGTCTCCCTAGGGGACCAGGGAGGAGGGAAGAAAGGGGCGCAAAGGCGGGAGAGACAGGCGGGTTGATCCACTCCGAGGAGGAGGAGGCAATTGCTTCTGAATGTTTCTTGTCCACCCAGCCTTTTGTTTGAGGGTTTTAAAAATAGAACCCTGACTCATATTTAAATACACTCATTTTCTCCATGTTTTATTGGTGTGTTCTAGCTGCATACGATGGCGGCCCCGTTGCTATGGTGCCTGCAGATGACCTCTAACGTATCCTTCAGCAGGAACCTGGCTGCAGGGAGATGGGCCAAGGGATCCTGGTGAGTCCCTTGCTCTCTGGGCCCTGGTTTAGCTGCCTGTCGAGGACGGAAGTCATGCGGCTCATCCAGCCTGGAAGACCCAGTGCAGGGCTAGCGCAGGCTTTCCTCCTGCCGACTGAGAGGAGGGAGTGACGCCGGCCCCACTGCCCTAGCTCGCAGCCCAGCTCGAGGCTCTGTGCAGAAGACGGGGCAGTCCAGGTGACAGGGTCATGGTATAAGATGACCCCAAACTCCGAGCAGCACATGCCTATAAGCAGCAGCCCGCACACAAACCGTAGTAGGATCACAGGCCTTGGGGTGGTGCTGGGTGGCCAGACAGGAGGGACGGGATTTGGACACTGTGAGACCGCATGGAGTTTTAAAGGACAGCAGGACTCAGGTTGTGGACAGGAAGGGTCAGAGCAGTCCAGGCGAGGCAGTGAGAACAGAGGGCCCAGGAAGAGAGCGGCAGGACAAGTGGCAGGCAGGCCCTTCCCCGCTGAGGCACGAGGTGTGGCACAGCACGTCCTCACTAGAGCGTGTGCACGGCCCTCATCTGACCTGTGAGATGCTATGATGGGTCTACTTGCTTTGTTTTTGTTTTGTTTGGTTTTTGGTGCTGGGGATTAACCCAGGGGTGCTTTACTAGAGCCATGTCCCTAGTTCTTTTTATTTTTTATTTTGGGACAGGATCTTGCTGAGTTGCTTAAGGCCTCACTAATTATTGAGGCTGGCCTCAAACTTACAATCCTCTTGCCTCAGCCTTCCCAAGTAACTAGTATAACAGGCTGGGCCTGGCTGCTTCGGACACACACCACCAAGGGGCCTCCAGAGCAAGGAGGCTTAGACCTCCAAGACAGGAACAGTAGGCGAGTGGCTCTTTGGGGTCTACATCTGGCAGTCTCCCAGTTCTTCATGATCCCTCAGAACAAAGGAGACCAGGGGGCTGATGGCTCTGGAAGCCTGGAGGTTTGTCCTCAAGGGAAAACCATGGGGTGTCACTGCACCTGAGAGCAGGGGATGCTGGAAGCACCTGGGCCATCCATTGAAGAGCCCTAGCCCTGGATGTCCCTCCCCACATCCCTACCAGTCACTGACCTCCATGATGTCCTTAATAATCGGGGTCCACCGTGAGAGCTGGTAAGTCTGCTCACTGATGCGCTCCTTCCGCTCCGGCTTGCTCCTGCGGCGCAGCGTGGACTGAACCAAGCACATACAAGATGAGAGTGAAGCAGGAGCCACTGGGCCTCGGTGACCTCCACTGGCCCTGGAACCTCTCCCAAGTTCCTCCTTTAGAGTAGCATTGACAAGGACTTATAAGGGCCAAGTTTCCCCCAAAATAGCCCAAGATGGATCCCTTTCAGGAACCTAGAACAAATTTGGTTCTTTGAAGTCTTGAAAAATAGCAAATGTGGGTCAAATATATGTCATTAAAAAAAAAAAATCCAGGTGATTAAAAATCCCACCTGCTCTCTATTAGAGAAGAAAACACCCGCTGGGTTTGACAGCTCTGCACTCCCCGTCACCGGCACAGGTGGTACTCGTGAGTCACCTTCACTCTTTTGATATGTCCTTTCCCCCTCACTCCCTGACTGCCTGTCCTCTGAGTGTGAGGTGCACCGGGGTCAGGAGGTGCTGCTGATTGGCTAGTGCAAGAGCAGACATGACAGCCCCCCGCCCCGCCTGCCAGCCGGCCCTTACATCCGTGACGATGGGCACACCCAGGTGGGCCATGTTGGTGATGATCTCACTGTCCTCTGGAGGGATCTGGGCGTGCTGGATCAGTTTGTTCAGGTTTTCCTCAGTGATGCCTGGGAGCACAAGACACCTGGTCACCACACCCATCCTGCCCATCACTAGGCTCCAAAGCAGAGCCACCGGCTTCCGTCTCTGAGCAGAAAGGGATCTGCCCACCACATCAGTGAGACTTAAAGATGAGGGCAAAATAAGTGTCCCATCTCCCCTGGAGCTAGTAGTGGCAGCGGTGCCCTGTCCTGAGTGATGGCCTCAGCACTGTCCTGGCCGTTAGTCTCTCCCTCTCCTGGCTTTCATCCCTACCCGCCCTTGTCCTGCATCCAAGTCGAACTGGACAGGTGTCTATACCCATCTGTTGCACAGTGGACACTTCTGGGCAACTATGACACGGGTACGAATCAGTTCTCTAAAATCAGAGACTGCAAATGGGATGCAGCTAACGAGAGCCTCTCCTCCCCGCTCCCCGTCCTGATCTACCTAGTACTCAGGGTCGCCGGGAAACTCAGCCCCTGGGTGCCACTGGTTGGACTCCATCACATTCCCAGACACGAAGATCTTATTTTCCTTCCCCTTCCACGTCTTCTAAACCACTTCTCCACCTCGTGTCCCCTCTTCCAGCCTGTGCCCCTCTGCAGCCCATCCTGCCTACCGTTCTTCAGAAAGATGTAGAGGAGGATGATGCGGATTTTGTCGTAAGTGCTGACGTTCGCATCCAACAGAATGGGGACGATGGCTCTCATGGGGTCCTTGATCTTCTCCCCCTCTGCATCTGTGCCCATCGCCAGGTCCTGTAGGAAACACACCATGCTGACCGTATTTCTGGTGACAGTTTGGATAGATGGCAGTTCACAGAAAGTGCACAGCCATGAACACCGAGCTCTGTGGCATGGTTGGGCAGGTGGCACACAGGCTCCTCTCTAAGCGAGTAGCTGTTAGATGTAGTGTCATCAGCACTTCAATAGCCTCGGTGAGTGCACCAGAGAGCGCAGAGCTTCTCTTTCCAAAATTAGAAACCCTCGTGATTTGCCACCTGTGTAAAAGTAGGCTGTCCCCTGCAGGTGAGTGTCAGACCTCGTGCACACGAGGCATAAGCCCTGCTGAGGGGGACGGACTAAAGGAACATGCTCCCTGCCCAGGAGAGCTCAGCATCTGGAGATGACTGCGTGGCTACGTCTTCCCACTCTATTCCCCGGCACACAAGAATATGCTGTTTGAGTTTTAACTACTCTGAGGTTTTAACCTGTTTTTTAAATTATTTATTTATTTGGTATGGGGATTGAACTCAGGGGCACTTGGCCACTGAGCCACATCCCCTGCCCTATTTTCTATTTTATTTAGAGACAGGGTCCCACTGAGTTGCTTAGCACCTCCATAAGTTGCTGAGGCTGGCTTTGGGCTCATCATCCTCCTGCCTCAGCCTCCCAAACTGCTGGGATTATAGGTGTGTGCCACTGCGCCTGGCTTAACCTCTGTTTTTAATCTTCCTACCATTTTTTGCAAGAATGTGGGGAGAAAGAGGGGCTCCCCAACCTGCAGATCCACTCAGGAAGAGGAAGGAGGAAAGAAGGGCTGACAAAGAGCTATAGATGAAGCAGGGCACAGTGGATATGCCTATAATCAAGCGACTTGTGAGGCTGAGGCAGGAGGATCACCAGTTCAAAGTCAGCTTCAGCAATTTAGTGAGACACTAAGCAACTCAGTGACCCTGTCTCTATATAAAATACAAAAGAGGGCAGGGATGTGGCTCAGTGGTCAAGTGCCTCTGGTGTCAATCCTGGGTACCAAAAACCAAAAAAAAAACAACATTCAGATAAAAAGATCCGTGAGCACAGTCTATTGCACCCCACACCTCAGGCAAAACACTGTCCAGAGAGCAGCACTTAGCTCCCAGACCACACTGATAGCCATCTGCTCTAGTCCTTAGAGACCAGCTTCCTTTATAACTCTTAGGAGGCTGCTGGAAGGCTCCCTCCCTCCTCTCAAGATCCCAGGAGCCCATACAAATGATAATCTCAAATTCATAGTCTCTTTCTGGGTCTGAGGGAGGCAGGACACCCCTCACCTCAGTCCTACCACCAGTTTCAACAGATACCTGCTCAGCAGGACCCACCTCTAGTACCCTCCGTCAGCCCAGCAAAATGAAATAGTCCAACGATACTTTTGAATACATGTCAAAAAATTTAACCAAAAATTAATCCCAAACTGCACTTTAACTGACCTGGGTACAACCTCCTTTTTGGATGGTCAAACTCTTTTGGAGAAGACATGTGTTTCCTGAGATCCCCTGAGAAACTGACGATGGATTTCAGGAGGGCTGCTTCCTCTTGTAAAAAAACCACTGACACAGGACGGGGCTTACAAACTTGAGCTGAACCTGTGACATCAGCCAGAGGATCTAAATCTAAGCTTCACCCCGAGAACCTGAGCTGGTATTTTTCTATATTGAGAGACTTTTGGCTGAGGCTTCAGATCTTTGAATGTCCCCTCTCTTCCCTTAGAAGTTAACACACAGGGGCTGGGGGTATAGCTCTGTGGTACAGTGAGCTTAGCATGCAGGGCCCCGGGTTCATTCCTAGCTCCACACGCAAAGCACTGTGGACACACAATTTAGTAATGTCACACTTGAAGGATGGAGTGCCAGGTTTAGGGAGTCCTCCGTATAATTCTCGTAAAAAATGTGTCAGCACTGTGATATCCCTCATGCAATGAAGAAAATAAAGCAGAGAGAAACAGGACAAACAAATAAACCAGTGACAGAGGCAGGACTCAAGTCCCAAAGTCCCGGCTTCCAGGCCTAAGTGTGATCTGCCAGGCTTTGGGGAGGTCCCGGCCAGCGGCTACACTGCCCTCTCTTGGTCTCAAGGTCTCCAAAGCTGGTCCAGTCACAGGAGGAGGAAAACACATTCAGAACAAAATTCAGCAGCCCTGCTGACGTAAGGCTCGGAACTCCAGGTCTCTCTAGAGCCATCCAGGGCAAAGAGGCTCTGGAGAGAGCCAGGCATGCGAAATCCACACGCACGGCATCCCAGACCAGCACTCCTACCCGAGACGGACGGCACAGCTCCAGAGCCGACGGCAGACCGCAGGCTCTCCCAGCTCTATTCCCTAGGATTCTGCAGGAGGTTCAAGGCCAACGTCAACACGTCAGCTGGGTGAAGGGCACGCAAGTCTGCCATGCAGAGGGAAGAAGAGAGCCTACCTGCTCTACTCGGCAGAGCTTGTCCACGGTGCCTTGGTAGTGCTTCATGCAGTCCTCGGCAAGGTGCAGGTGGGTGGAGTACTAGGAGGAAGCAGGGAGATTGGTGACCGAGAATCAATCCCTGACGCACACTCTATCCCCCGAGCACGTAAGTGTCCTGAACACTGGGCTAGGTGCTAAGGAGCGTCCAGACTGACAAAGGAGATACACTGTGCACAAGCAAGCACACAAACATCATGTGTAGAGTGTCACATGTCAGGAGAGAGGGTCGAGCCACATTCTAACAAAGACGAAAAGTAGAAGGGAAACCCTCTGAGAGGGTAGTGGTGTGCAGAACCTTGACACCCCCGGAGGGAGCCCAATTCCCTCCTCCTTGAGTGCGGGCTGGGTTTAGTGACCAGCTCCCAGCAAACAGTGCAGGAAGTGGTGGCATGTGATGCTCAAGGTCAGGGCCCGGAAGGCCTTCTCACATCCTCCGGTCCTCTCGGATCACTCGCTCTGGGGAGTGGATGGCTGTGTCATGAGGACACCAGCACAAGGACAGGCTGGTATGGTGAGGAGCCGAGGCCCCCCACCAACAGCAGGGGACAGGGAGAATGAAGGAGAGGAAGACACAGAGAAAGGAAGGGACAGGAGGTGAACCCCAGCTTGCCTTCCTTCTTCCTTTCTTTTTCTAATGGAAACTGAAGAGGACTAGAAATCTGGATTTCGACTCAGGGAGAAGAGCAGGCTCTGAGAGGTCCTTGCAGCCACATACCTTGCTGAGTTCTTTCTGATATTGGGGCATCTTCTTCAGCATCTGGGACAGGTCCCGCATGGTGGTCTGTGAGGGAACAGAAAGCACACAGAGTCACTCCAGTGGCCCTGAGCTAAGTGGGCACAGGACAGGATAGCAGCCACCCTAGACTACCCATGTACATGCTCAGTGACTCTCAAAGGGAATCTGTAGAACACAAGGTCAAGTGTGTTGGATACAAACGTCACGACCGTCTTACAGGTGGGCAGCTAACCCTCCAAGTCTAGTGGATATGTTATGACTTTTTTTTCCTTTCCTTTTTCTGAGATGAGGTCCAAGTTGCCCAGGCTGGCCTCAAGCTTGTAATCCTCCTACTTCAGCTTTCCAAATAGCTGGGACCGCGATGTGTGCCACTGTGCCTGGCTTCTGCCAGGTGTCATGTTGTATTCTGTTTGTTGGACTAGAAAGCTGAGAAGCCTGGTCCGGTGGTGCACACTTCTAACACTGATTATTTGGCAGGAATCAGCTGATGCAGGAGGACCAGCCTGGGCCACTGAGGGTAAACCTGTCTTTAAAAGAAAAAGCTGACTTGGGAGGCTGAGGCAGGAAGACCATAAGTTCCAGGTCAGCCTGGGCAACTCAGCGAGACTCTGTCTCAAAATAAAAAAATACAAATGACTGGAAATGTGGCTCAGTCGTAGCGCACCCCCGGGTTCAACCCCAATTACTGACGGCCCACCATAAAGTCATTGAGAGTGTAATTCTTGCCAAGAAAAAATATTTTTTTCTTCCATATACTGCTTTTCTACAGACTCAGCTCAAGCAGTCTTGGCATCAAGTTTGCGCTTCACCCCTGCACCTAGAAAGAGGGTGCAGCTGTGCAGACAGGTAGAAAACACGGAAGTTACAGAGGGCTGGACGCTTCAAGCAAAATGGGTCTGTTTACTTTCCCTGAGTGTGGTGACCTCACTCATTTATCCAATGAAACCTGACTGAACTGCCGCACACCAGACACGACTAGGTGAGGAGATACAAAGGGGGGGGGGGGCGGTTCTGTCTCCTGGATCTCAACATCCAGCAGAGGGGCCAGACAAGTGAGCGGTGGGCAGAGTGGGTCAGGCTGTTGACTGGATCCAGCAGGTGATATGGGCGCGTCAGACACACACCTGGCTGGTTCGGAGAGGCCCAGAGGTTCCCTGAGGAAACCATGTCTAAGCCCAAGAACTAGGTAAGGCCTGAGGCTCCAGAGCCCTGGAATGGCTGAAATAAGGGGAGGTGGGAGCAGGAAGGCAGGAAGGGGGTGGGGAGAGAGAGCGGGCGAGAAGGCGTGTCCACAGATAGGTGGGCTCTACTCTAAGGGGAACTGAAAGGCACTGAATGGTTTTAAGGAAGAAAGTAACACAACCAGAGCTGAACTTCAGTAAGTAAGTCCCCGTCCTTTGCCTAAGATGGGAAGGCCACCTCTGACATCAGGGTAAGGAGAGGCCTCATAAGTTGGGTTACGAATTCTAATTCCACCATGAGCTAAACAAAGTCTCACTGTTCTTCTAGCTGAAAATGAACCATGATCCCAACCAGTAAATATTTTTTTTAAAGAGAGAGAGAGAGAGAGAGAGATTTTTAATATCTATTTTTTTTTAGTTTTCAGCAGACACAATATCTTTATTTGTATGTGGTGCTGAGGATCGAACCCAGCGCCGCGTGCATGCCAGGTGAACGCACTACGCTTGAGCCACATCCCCAGCCCCCAACCACTAAATAACAAAACCCAGCTCTCTCTAAACATCAGAAGATGGGAGCTCCAGATATGAATCTCAAATGCAATAACAAGACAGAATGACATTGAAAGAAAAATACCACCTCACTAACTCCGTAGTCACACACAGAGGCCTCTCCCCAGCTCCCAGAAAGAAAACTCATCTACAGGGCACTGAACATGGCAGGAGTTTACCTTTTCTCCAGTATTCATTCTCTTGCTAGAAGAAAAGTCTTTCAGAGACCGGGTAACTTCCCTGGAAACAGAAGGAGGCAGCTAAGTCTCAGCAACACCAAGGGCTCTGCACAGGGCACAGCAGTCAAGCACCAGCCTCCTTTCACGGCTATGCGGAGACTTAGCTGCCAGGGGTGCCCAGCTGGGTCAAAGGGCAAAGAGAAGAAAACATCAAAAGTCAAGATGGTGATGCTGCCTGTAATCCTAGAAACTTGGAGGCCAAGGCAGGAGGACCTCAAATTTGAGGCCAGTCTAGGCAACTTAGTGAGAATCTGACCCATAGAAATGAAAGGACTGGCTGGGCACAGTGGCACACGACTGTAACCCCAGAGACTCCAGGGGCTGAGGCAGGAGGATCACAAGTTCAAAGCCAGCCTCAGCAATTTAGCAAGACCCTGTCTCTAAATAAAATATAAAAAAGGGGCTGGACATGTGGCTCAGTGGTTAAGCGCCCCTGGGTTCAATTTCCAGTACCAAAACTAAAAAATAAATTTATGAATAAGTTTATTTACTTATTTTTGGAGATGCAGCTCAGTGAGAGAGCACCTGTCTAGCATGTGTGAGGCCCTGCTTTAGTCCCCAGTATTACCCCTCACCCCCCAAAACAAAAGTGAGAGAAGAAGGCATTAAAATATCTATTCCTCTTTATTTTACCTCATTCTTTTCAAATGTGTTTGAACATACAAAATGAAATGTACACATTTTGTTTGAAAAAACACACTAACTTATATGTATGTTGCAAAATGCATATATTAGTGCAATAAAGTATATGTATATGACTAATTCATAGACAAGTTTAATTACTGAAAATGTACATTAGTAATTTTTAAGGTAGAGTGGTCAAGAAGGTCAGGGAAGGGCCAGGGATGTAGCAATGCAGCTCTGGGTAGAGTGCTTGCCTCCCATGCCTTAAGGCCAGGGGTTCAATCCTCAGCACCATAGGGGGAAATAACAAAGAAAGAAAGAAAAAACAAACCAAAAAGATTGGGAGATTGTTTCTGTAAACAATGGAACTAACTATCCAAAATGTCCTTCCTCACTCTGAATCTCCTGAGGATACCAACTCTCCAAAGCAGAATGGGTCTTTCTAGAAAAGCAGCACTGCTAGCTAATGGTTTAAAGGTCTCATAACAATGTTTGAATACTCAAGCATTCGGATATGATTTCAGAGCAAGGTATGGTTCAGTAGGTAGACATGAGCTCTGGCAGGTGAGCAACAGGAAGCCCGCACAGTGGGGGTGCCTGGAGCTTTCAACAAGTGAAGGAGCCTGAAATGTCTAAAAAGCATTTTTCTGAGAGAGCCACAAATGCTTTCCAAGAATCCTAAAGGCAACCCTCATTCACAGCAGATTTTCTAACTTTGTGAAACTGGAGTAGCTCAGGCTCAGAGAACAGAAGGAATTTGCCATTCTTGGTTAGGATATTGGCAACTTTGCTAAGGCAAGGAATTCACTCCCCTGAGTTGCCCAGAGCATGCACATCACCCATAGTGGCAGGAAGGAGCACTGGCCAGGACGAGGGTAGAGGGGCTCTTACTGGGACACCTCTGCGATGTGCTTGTGGCGAAGCGCTATCCACAGGTCGTCGTCCTCGTCCAGAAGCACTTCCTTTACCCGTGCCTCCCCAATGCCACTGGTCTCGTACCTACAGGAGACAGGACTTGGGTGGGTTGCTGTCCCCAGAGCACTCACCCGACCACTCTGCAATGACAACAGCTTCCAGGTAATCAGACAAATGACTCATAACACGCTGACCATCTGATGGCCAGACAGGTCAGCTGTGTAGCACCAACACGGGTTGCAATTCCTCAAGCAGCAAGAGACTCCTTACTCAAAGTTTATATTACCTTGCCGAGGTTGGCTGATATGAGCTCCCCCAGAGCCACCTGGTCAGGGTGTGAAGACAGATTCTATGTGGGCTTATTTATTTACTCATTTTATTTATTTATTTGCAGTACTGGAAATTGAACCCAGGGGTGCTCTCCCACTAAACTGCACCCCAGCCCTTTTTAAAATTTTTATTTTGAGACAGGGTCTTGCTAAGTTGCCCATGTTATCTTCAAACTTATGATCCTCCTGCCTCAGCCTCCCATGTTGCTGGGATCACGGTTGTTCCCCACACCCAGCTATATGTTGACACAAGAGTCACCCAGAGGGGACAGGCCAAGCTCCTATTTGTGCCTCTCTAAGATGGCTAGGATGCTATCCCTAAATGGTATCTAGCTGTCTTCAACAGGCCCTTGACATTCTGTTACATGTACGATAGTGAACAGCTGGAAGAAGCAAGAGTTACAGGTACTAAAAGAAGAGCTGAGAGTTACTCATATTTTAGAACCTTCATTTTGAAACCACCATTTTCAGGATCAATGTTCAAAAAAAAAATGACATAAAGATAATAATCTGTTTACATAAAAACAAAAATTAGTTTTTAGAAATTGAGTTTCAGCAGAGTATGGTGGCCCACACCTGTAACCCCAGCAACTCAGGTGACTGTGGCAGGAGGATCACAAGTTTGAGGCCAGCATCAGTAACTTAGGGAGACACTGTCTCAAAATAAAATTTAAAAAGGGCTGGGGTGTAGCTCAGTGGTAGAGCACCCCTGGGTTCAGTCCGCAGTACCAAAAAAAAAAAAAGGAAGAAACTGAGTTTCTGATCATAGTTAGTAAGAGAAATATTTTTATAATGAAGAAAACAGGTCCATTACCAGAAAAGTCAGTAAGAAACTCCTGTTGATATATTTTATCATCATCATATCTTATGATCTGTAATTAAAAAGTTTCAATTCTAAGTAACACACACACACACACCCCAATCAACCTACTACCACATCTGAACAGGCTCTGATCTGAGGTGACGTGATGTGAACTACAGATCTGAAGTTTCCGGGCTGCCCAGAAGGGGCACTCATTCTGCCTAGAAATGCCCCGTGGATCTGGGAAACCACACAAAAACTTATAGGCCTATTGGAAAGACTGGACCAATGCACCTGCTTTTCCTAGGCTTAAAAACATTTTTTTTTTCCTTAAGTTAGAGGTATTCCTAGTTCACGTGCAAAGTTGTGGTCACTCTAGAGTCTGTAACACTCTACTTACTTGTAAACATCATTTTCAATAGGCAGCAGGTCGTAACTCATGGCCTGAAAAGTCAACTCATGAAGCACAGGGGAGCTAGGGTCAAAGCCCCGATCCAGGATCAGCAGCTGGGAGCGAGCCTTGTCAGGACCCTGGGGGCAAACAAGGAGATGTTTCAAGGGCCACTCAGACAATTAGAACTTCCCCAGTTAGCAGAGCCCAGCTTGTCAAGGGTGCAGCAGGAAGAACTCCAAGAAGCAGCCCTACTAAAACAGTACCAGTCTGCTTGCTGCTTGGCAAGAACACCAACACTCCAGGCACACTCGAATATTTCTATTCCATGGTGAGGGCCTGGGAAGCAGATCAGAACCTGGCTGGAGGCAGAAGTGAGTTTGTGGAGAAGAGCACTCTCCAGGTTCAGCTACAATGGGTGATTAAGCTTCCAGCTGGGACTAAGCAGTTCCCAGAACCCGGGACTTTCTGTTTTAGATACAAAGTAGTGATGAACAGCTCTGCATGTTGTTTTGTGTGGGGTGGGAAGGGCGAGGCAGGAAGGGCCCTCAGGGTCCTGTACATGCTAAGCTTGTGCTGTACATTGGGCTATGTTCTGGGTTCCCAGCTCTGCATCTTGACTGCAGTGGTGGTGACACACATCTGTGCGTGTGTTAAACTGTATCAGGGCTGTGCACACAGAGAGCAACTTTTTGCCTTTGCTACTGTACTACTACTAGGGGATCTCCAGATGAGGACATTCAGTGTTGAAACTGCAAAAGTCCTGGTGAACAGAAGCAAGTTGGTCATCCTGGCTATGTAGAACATACCTGGGCTCCCAAGGGCTTTGGGCATGTCACTAGAGGCCGACACACAGAAAGAGCAGCCCTCACACGTCTGTGAGCAAGAGTACTGCATCATCCCTTGGACTGTCACATAAACACTGTGGTCACTTTGTAAGATAACCTCCTGGCTCAGGCCCAGACTTACTTCCCCCATGGTTGGATCATCAGCTTTATAGGCGTCGAGTTTGTCCTGGATTAGTTGAGCCAGCAAGGCATTGTCCTTGTACTCCCTGACAAAAGAGGAGGAGCAGAGGTGAACAACCTGGGCACTAGGTGAGGCACTCATGGCCCAGGAAGGATGCAGGATGGCACAGGGAGGGTAGGAAATGCGTGAGCATGGTCAGTGCTGGGTTTTTACGATAAGAACACACACAGATACTACGAGTATATAAAAAGGAAAAGTAAAATGCTTGCTTCGGTACCTGAACAAAAAAAGTGATTTCCTTATTTCTTCTTCTTTTTTTTTTTAATTTTTCTTTTAGTCATCAATGGACCTTTATTTTATTTATTGATACGTGGTACTGAGAATCGAACCCAGTGCCTCACACATGCTAGGCAAGCGCTCTGCCACTGAGCCCCAGCCCAGCCCTTATTTCTTCTTTTTTAAAAACTGTCTAGATGGAGCAGAAGCCCAGGTAAACAGCCACACTTCCAGATGGGCCCGGCCACTCCCCCTCCCATCATCAGGACGTCTGGGCCTGACCTGCATGGCTCTCACTTCTCTTGATTCAAACTCCACTGGGTCTTGTTTGGTTTGGCTGGTAAGTGGCATGTATGTTCACACAACCAGGGTGACAGCAGTGCCTGGGCTCAGACCTTTCTGCCTGGCTGAGTGTGAAGCACTCTCTGGGCTCCCCCTGGCTTTGCAGGGAGTTGGCTGATGTCACCTTTGCCAACCTCAGGATCATGGTGGCCCTGTTCCCCACCCAGGAGAGAGTGCTGAGGCAGGCTCTGCAGCACAGGCCCCCAAAGATGGGAAGCCAGGCGCTGGGGCAGCCACGAGGTGCTGTCCATGGCCACCTGTACCCGCCGAGGATGAAACAAAAAGGTCAGGCACACGTCTGAGCCTCAGCCCCCGAGCTCTGTTGGGCCGCGGCCCCATGCCCATGCAGCTTGCAGCCTCTGAGTTGCAGGCCCCACTGCCTGGGGTCCCAGCTTCACCCCCCTCCCTTCCACTCCTCACTCCAGCCCCTTCACTCCTCCTGCAGTGGCCCTGCTCTGCTCTCCTGGCTTCTCTGCACCCATCTGCCCCTCAGCCCTGCTATCAGGCCTCCAAAGCACTGCGACTGCTCCCTGTCCCAATCCCCAGACATCCCAGGGAAGCCACTGAAGGACACAGTCCCAAACCTGGGCTTTCAGGCCTCCACTATCTGTGTACTCTACATATGCACTATGCGGACCTGCCTTTGCCTTCCCAACTCCAAGCTTCTGCTTATGCCAATGGCAAGAACCAATCGCCCTCTCTCCATCTGTGTGAGATCTGAACCTGTCCTTCAAGATGCGCACATATATCACCTCTAGCCTGTGGTTGGCCAGAAAGGCCCTGAGCACCTGGCGGGTGCTGTGCTCAGGTGCTGGCCTCACGGGGCTAGGTGCAGAAGTGCACACCTGTGCTCACCTGTCGTATCCAGACCTTACCTACCCAGGGTTCTAGGGCTGTGGCTGAGTCTTCAGCACAAAGCAAGTAAGTGGATGAGTGAATGACCTCATAAAATCTGAGAAGAGTGTCCTTAGGAGAATTATTTTCTCAGTATTGCATCTTACTCTCAAATACCTCTACAAAAATAATATTGGTTTTTAGAGCCTAGAAAGAAATTGAAAACTGGGAAGCCCAGGCTGCAGGCGCACAGAGCTCACACTTTAGTTATTTGATAGCTAAATATATGTACATACTGTGCCCTTTTCTGTATGCATTATATTTCACAATACAATTCAAAAGATAAAACCTTTAGAAGAATGATCTTAAGAGGGAGATGCTTAAACTTGACCCTCTGAGACAACTGCTAGAGGAAACATGAGACCAGAGGAAGACTCGGGGGCGCGCCTCTCAGCCGTGCAGGATGCCTGCCTAGCAGACAGGTGTGCCTTACCCCCGATACCGCACAGCTGGGTACTCCTTCAAGGTGGCACACAGGGTTGCGATCTGCTCTGCCAGGCGCTCTAGTATAGGATTCTTCATCTGAGCTTTGTGGGGACTGTAGAAGCTTTGGAAAGAGTCAGCAGAGTCCAAGGAATATACCTGGGAGGAGAAAACAATGCACTTGGCATGTGTGTCCGGAAGGGCGAGCCGCAGGAGTCCCGCCACACTGGCGGTGAATTTGCAGGACATGTTTTCATTTGCTCCAGCGCTAGGCACCACACTAAACATTTGGGAGCTATGAGCGACCACAATATCCTTGTCCTCAAGGAGTTTTAAATCTAGCAGGGGTGTGTGTGTGGGGGGAGCAGATATTAAGCAGAATAAGAGGGAAACTGCACGGTATCGAGAAGCTGATAAATGCATGAGAAAATAAGATAGCAGGGAAGGAATGCCCCGGACGGGGAGGACACGTGGACTCATGGAGAAGGGACAGCTGACTCAAGGCTTGAGGAAGTGGGGTGTTCATCACCAGCAGGAGACTTCTCAGGGGCAGGAATGGGTGGTACCCCAGACCTGGGGCAGAGGTGCACCTAATGTGTCTGAACAATGACAAGCCAGGAGAACAGAAGAGGGGGCTGTAAGATCTCAAAGGCCATTGTGGATTTGGAGTTTTAAAAATTCTTTTAGTTTTTTTTTTAAAATACACACTCACACACACATATATATTAGTTGTCGTATTCATTTATATGTATTGCTGAGAACTGAACCCAGTGCCTTACATGTACTAGGCAAGTGCTCTACCACTGGAGCCCGAGCCCAGCCCCAGCCCTGCATTTGGTTTTAACAAATAAATCACAAGCTAGAAATTGTGCTGTGACTGTGAGCGAATGAATGAGGTTTTTGGTAAGTATAATAATATCCTGTCCTCAGTAAAATGTTTTATTTTTATTTATTTATTTATGTTTGTACCATAGATTGAACCCAGGGGTGCTCTATCACTGAGCTATATCCCCAGCCCTTTTTATTTTTTTATTTGAGATAGGGTCTCACTAAGTTGCCCGGCTGGACTTGAACTTGTGATCCTCTTGCCTCAGCCTCCTGAGTAGCTGGGATTACAGGCATGCACCACTGTGCCTGATTCCTTTTATTTTTTTAAAAGGGTCCCAGGAGTTTGAAATTAATTTCTAATACTACTGAGCCTAATAGCTATCATTAATCTCACAAATCTTCATTTATTTAAACTATCTTGATCTTCTTTGGAGAATTATTTTTAAAAAGGTCTATTACTTTCTTAAAGCTTCTGAAATGTAATATTGTTGGACAGGCTGAAGCTGGACTTTGTCCAATCTAGGTGGTGACAGGACTCATGCAGGGAACAAAAATTGCTGCTCTGAAGCAGGAAACAGGCTTCAAGCCAAGTGAGAAGGGACTAAGACCAGCTCTAAATGTTTGTGCTGTCTTTTCCATTCCTCCTTTTCTAAAATCAGGTCAATCTCTGGTTCTGGAAGCTGCTCTATAAAGATCCAACATGCTATAATCATCTCCTGTCACCATGACAACATAAAGGTCTGTTGGTTTTGGTTCTTTTTCTGCTACAAGACGTTTTAAGAAGATACGTTCTTTCACAACCAGCTTCAGCTTTACTGGTTTAACAACTTTGTTTTCTTCCAAGAGGAGAAGTTTGCTGCTGTGGCCTTTGGTGAGTGAAGGGTTAACAGTTACTCAGGTCACCATCTGTTCTTGCACGTGACCAGGTGATGCTATCTCCAATACAGCCTCTGCAGCAGATGGGATCCTCTGATCTGCCCCCCTCCTGCCAGGTTCTTTTAGGACTGGCTACTTGTGGTTATTTAAAGAGTCAGCCAAGATCAGTGAGCACTGGGCAAGGAGGAAATGCACACAAAGAAAGGCATGAGGCTGACAAGAAGCCAGAAGTGGTGCCTGTGGAAAACCGCTTCCATTAAATAAACATCCATACGTAACAGTCACGCGGCCACCTGAACACGAGGCCAACCCTCCCCCACTCCATCACACTGCCCGCCCTCCCAGAGCTCCGGATAGAATAATCAGCAAGCAGATTTTCTGCTCAGCCTCACCTGGGATTCATACGGGAGAAACGCAATGTTGATTTCCGTCAGCGTTTTGATGACTTTGGCTGCTCGAGATTTTACCAGCTCGTTAAACAGGGCATCTGGGCAAGCTGCAGGAATGACAGGGACAGTCGGGTTTCCTGGGCAGTGGCTGGTTCATTTAACAGCTGAATGCGTCCAATAGATGCTTCATTTTATTCAGGTTTTTAAAAGGCAACTAGAAGGTTCATGCCATCCTAAAATATTCCATACCTCTAGGGTATAGAAGGATGGAGACATGAAGAGCTAACAAAAACTGCTTTCTGATCCCAAGGAAAGAAACCAGAAGTGATTAAGAAGGGAGAAGGAAAGGTCTTTAATGTAAATGCGCACCTCATATCTAACCTATTTATGATAAACAAAATAAGAAAGAAAAGAAAATTTGTGGGAAACATGATACAGGCATCGCCCTCAGGACTGCTGAGAAGTAAGCAGATGGGAGGGAACCATGACGTCTATGTATCTCCCAGGCCTAACTAAGGCTTCCTGTGCCCAGAAACACGTCATTGGCTTAACATTATTAATGCCATTTCCTTGCTCCCTTTGCTACTGATATTCAAGTACTATATATAAGGTCATTTCTTGCTATAACTTTTCCATTTTCTCGGAGGTGATTTTAGGGGGTCTCCTTAGAGAGAAGAGCAGGTGAGGTCTTGCTGTTTTATACTGTTCCACTCTTCTCTCATAGCTTCTCCAGTGGGATCTACATCCAAACCAGCACAAAACAAGAAAGCCAACTTTAGAGCAATGAGGTAGATTCTATCTAATATAAGACCACTCAATCAGAATCTCTCTGTGGTTGAAAAACTAATGGAAATTTACTGCAGGATATAGTGCTACCTGCAAGGCTGTGGCTGAAATGCCAAGGGTAGCATCAGGAAAATTCGAGGCTCCAAGCCCTTTGTCCTTGGAGGAGGTTCTGAGTGAGCCGTTTCCCGAAGGAGGAAATGCAGGATCTAACAGGTATGTATTTGTGTGTGTTTATTTTTGTTACTTATGCAATTTATTATCTGAAGAGAAAATGAAAGGTTGGGAAAACCATGGCAACAATTAATTTCTTCCCTACAGCCAGGCACAGTGGCACATGCCTGTAATCCCAGCAGCTCAGGAGGCTGAGGCAGGAGGATAGCAAGTTCAAAGCCAGCCTCAGCAACTTACTGAGGCCCTAAGCAATTTAGTGAGACCCTGCCTCAAAATAAAAAAATAAATAAAAAGGGCTGGGGATACTGGTCAATGGGTAGAACACCCTGGGTTCCACCCTCAGTATCTCAAAGAAAGCAAAACAAAAACACATTCCTAAAACCTATTGGCCTGACCTGGCTGGGTTCAGCCAAACGAGCTCCCCTGTGCAGCGGGGGCAGCCCGCGGGGTACTTACAGTCAGTGAAGAAGACATGTGCAGCCCGGTACTTAGCAGTTGGTGGGTCCTTAAAGTCACTGATGAGAGAGTGGACAGACTGTGGACAGGAACAAAAGAGGGCACTAAATCCCATTCTAGAAGCAAGTGGGACCAATATCTGAACTGAGCTCAATTCAAGCTGGCTTCAAGCTACTTGCACAAAATAGCGGGGGGTTTGGGCATATGATTCGAACACTCTCATTCAGCCACAGCCAGATTTTGAGGACTTAAAATTAGGATTATTTCAGAGTTTAGCTCAGTCCAGAATGAGTGGCAGTGTCACATAACATGGGTTCCTGAGACTCACAAAACTGGTGAGGACTCTTGGAGGACACAAACAGCTGCACCTGCAGACTCACAGGTGAGTCAGTTTTCAAAAGTGAAAACTGGAGGGGAATTTTTTTTATATAGATCAAGAGACCCAAGACAATTATCAACCAAAAGCAAGGAGGTGGACCTTATTTGGATGCTGATTTGAACACTTACGAGACAGGTAAATCTGAACTCTAACTGGGTATTGATGAAATAACCCTGAAAACATGCACTCCCAAAGTCTGGCGGGAGGGTGCCTGCCTGAGGAGGGAGTGCAGGGGACACGAACGACCCAGGGCCTGGAATGCCAGCTTCGGCTTGCTGCATAACTGCCATATTTCAAAAGGTTTAACAAACTTTTCACTTCTCTTTGTACAAACACACCCTCCCTGCCCCCGTGATGGATTGCATGCTTAAACAGAGCAGTGTGTTAAATGCATGCTTAACCTAGAAATGTCAGACGCTCTGTGCCACAGAGATCCCAAGCCCAGCATTCCTCTGGTGGAGGACTCACCTTCTCAGACGGGGTGATGAGGTACACAGCCTCCAGGCTGGGGAGTGGTTCTCTGCGCTTGTTAATGTCTTCCACAACTAGGCAACAAAACAGCCCAGGTGAATAAGGAAACACGACTGGCGGTCATGAAACTAGAAGCAATGTAGACTGACACAGTCAAAGTCTATAGTAGGGTGGGTGGGGCTCAATGGCAGGGCGCTTGCCTAGCATTTGTGAGGCTCTGGGTTCCATCCCCAGCACCGCCAAATCAAGAAAAGAAAAGAAAATCTAGAGTAAGGGGAAAGAAAAAGAATCGTTCACCCCTTCCTTAAAGTCACCACATTTCTTGGGAGTGCGTTCCACCGGTTCACTATGCCTAAGATGTTAGAAAGCCTGAAATCGTGCCACACTACATATCTCCCACTCTGCATTTCAGTTCAATTCCTTGATCTATTGTGAGGGAAATGGAAAAGGCCACTCATCTGTTGAGAATGGTTCTTTGCTTCTTCCTTCAGTTTTTTCGCATCTGTCCTAAATAATCGCGATTCCTTTAGAATCTCCCTGCTGGGTTTGTCAGTAATTGGACAGCCTTGTCATCCTCCTCTGCACATCGGATAAAGCCCTCCAAACACATCCTCCGCACAGCACTCAACAGTTCAGAACCAGACACTCTGTTTGTTAAAGCCAGCTGCTGGGTTTTGATTTCCTTGTTTCCTTTATGGTCATTTCAGCTACTTTGGGGGCATCTTCGCCTCATCTGTTACCTGATAAAGCTTAGGGGGAGTTTACCTATGCTGCGACATCCTCTGGCATGGAGAGAACAGTACAGCTGTGTGGCTGTTGTTCTTCATGCAGATGATTTAAGTGAAAAAAGGCACCACTTCAGAAGTATACCTTGTGGCATTTACAAAGACTTTCAAATCAAATGTTAAAATTAATTCCCTAGCCAGGCACAGTGGCCCACGCCTGTAATCCCAGTGGCTCAGGAGGTTAAGGCAAGCGGATCACGAATTCAAAGCCAGCAGCAGCAACTTAGCAAGGCTCTAAGCAACTTAGTGAAACCCTGTCTCTAAATAAAATACAAAAGACGGCTGGAGATGTGACTCAGTGATTAAGCAACTCCGGGTTCAATCCCTGGTACCAAAAAATAAAAAATCAGTCACCCAAACATTTACTTTGCCAGTAGTTGTAGAGTTTTAAATTTTACAGGCTACTAAGACTTCCTCCAAAAATGTTTGGAGTCTCAACACAGGGTTATGAACTTTTAAATTTTGCTAAGTAAGGATACTGTTTGAGACCCACCTTTGGGGGTAGGGGAAAGCTGCATACGGTGGGGGAGGTGAGTTGTCATCTACCACAGGAAGTCAACAGACAACATCAACATTGACAAATCCAGATTTAATAGCATAAGCATTTATTTAGGAATATGTATGTTTAAAAAAAGTAAATAGGGCTGGGGTTGTGGCTCAGTAGCAGAGTGCTCGCTTAGCACGTGCAAAATGGTGGGTTCAATCCTCAGCACCACATAAAAATAAATAAAATAAAGGTATTGTGTCTAACTAAAAAACAAAAAGTAAATAACCGGAAGAAAGAGTAAGGCAGCAGCCAGCAGCCCCCAGGATGACAGGCCTGGGGCATGGAGGTGGGGAGGCGGCAGGATGTGCTCTTCTCTGTTGAGCGTCTTGGTGAGTTGGGCCTTTCTTGTGACAGAGGAAAAAGTAGGGGTGTTTGGTTGGAGTTTGTTTGTGTGAGATGGGGTCTCACTATGTTGCCCAGGCTGGTCTCAAGCCCCTGGGGTCAAGTGATCCTCCTGCCTCAACCTCTTGAGTAGCTGGGACTACAGGTATATGACACCATGGCCAACTGAGAGGATAAATAATTTTAAAAATTTATCGAGGAAAATAACTTTGTAAGCTCAAAATCAAGGCATGCCTGGTCTTAACGTGGACATGGTCCCCAGATGACACAAAAATACTATAAAAAGCATGTGCTCGGGGGGGGCTGGGGTGGTGGTTCAGTGTAAGAGTACCTGTCTAGAGAATGTGCAAGGCACTGGGTTCGATTCTCAGCACCTCATATAAATAAATAAAATAAAAGTCTGTTGACAACTAACTAAATATATATTTTTTTAAAGCATGTGTTCCCACATCAACAGGAAAACCACAAGACATTATTTCCATAATTTCACAAATTAAGAACTTTTTTTGTTCCAGCCTTTTTTGTTTTTTTGATAGGGTCTCACTGAGTTGCTTAGGGCCTTGCTAAGTTGTCAAGGCTGGTTTTAAAATTGTGATTCTCCTGTCTCAGCCTCCAGAGCTATTGGGATTACAGGCCTATGCTACCATCCCAGCATAAATTAAGGACATTTTAACATCATAAATAGGGAAGATAAGACTTGGCTTGGGCTTGATGACAAATGCCTATAATCTCAGTTATTTCCAGCGTGGGCAGCTTGGCAAGACCTCATCTCGAAAAACCAAAACAAACAAACAAAAAACCTGACATAATCTTAGAATAAAGAACAGACCTTAAAAGGAAATAATTAAATTCAACTAGTTTAATGCAAAACTCAACCCTCCTACTTTTCTTCCTTTAACTGGGGTAGGGTGATAATTTTAAGACCTCCAATGGTCTGTGTGCTACACATCACACAAAGGTACCTGCCTCCAAGGGAAAAAAATCAGGAGACACATTGCAACAGTCGTACCACTGATATTGACGTTCTAGCTTGGAATAATACCTTGAAAGAGATTGCTTTTCCTTTCAGGAATTTCATCGACTGATTGGTTATGGTGCTGCAGACTGTACACAAGGCCGCGGGCATGCTCACTCTGTGCTCTACCACGGAGCTACAGCTGAGGCCCAAGAGACTGCTCAATCAATGCTGTTTGAAAGATTAAAACACAATGCTTCTTGAAAGGAGCCTTGGGGAAGAGTAGAGCTGCACAAATGTGAACAAGAGCTCTGGAACAGGAGCCAGAAGGTCTGCGTCCTTGCTCTTAGGTATGACTCTGGCTAGTGACCCTGGGCAGGTCACGGGACTTTTTTTTTTTTTCCTCCTACTACCAGGGATTGAACCCAGGGGTACTTAGCCACTGAGTCACATCCTCAGCCCTTTTATTTAGAGACAGGGCCTTGCTAAGTTGCTGAGGCTGGCTCTGGATTCATGATCCTCCTGCCTCAGCCTCCCAAGTCACTGGGATTATAGGTGTGTGTCACCGTGCCCAGGTAGATGATACAACTTAAAAAAAATCTATTTATTTGGCTAGGCACAGTGGCACAAACTTGTAATCTCAGCAACTTGGCAGGCTGAGACAGAAGAATTGCAAATTCAAGGCTAATCTTAACAACTTAGCAAGACTCTGTCTCCAAAATTAAAAAGGACTGGGTAAGTAGCTCAGCGGTAGAACCTTCTGAGTCTAATCCCCAGTCCCACAAAACAAATAAATCAAAAAAGCTATTTATTGGAAAAAATTGTGTTATGTGCATATATGAATATAGCATAACAAATCCCATTATTATATAACTATAATACACCAATAATAAAATTTTTAAAAACCTATTTATTGTGAAATTATAACACTCTAAGAATGAATTAAACATAAACAAGGAATAACTGTAATGCGAATGTCTATATACACACTGCCCCAATTAAAAGAACCTTGCCAGTGTGGCAGAAGTGCCCTCTCCCCACGCCCCCTCCCTTCCCTCCAAAGAGAGCCACCATCCTCACTGGCATGGAAGCGCTGCCCTTTACCACCTCCGTTTGCATTCCAGCACAGCACCCTGCACTTAGTACTGTCCGGTCTTGAACTTTACATACAGGACAATGCTAGGTGAGCACTCCTCTGTATCTTGCTTCCTTTGCTCCACGCTGTTTATCAGATTCACTCACGCCATGGAGGAGAGTCGGTCTGTTTTCATTGCTGTGCCGTGTTCTGCTGCGTGACTACACTCCACCTCAACTTATTTAACCATTCTACTTTTTTTTTTCTTGTGGTGCTGGGGTCCAAATCCAGGGCCTTGCACATTTAGCCACTTTACTTTCAAAGGACGTTTTGGCTGCATCCATTTGGGGCTCCTGTGAGTGCTCCTGTGCGTGTGTCCTGGGCACTCACCCCTTGGGCTTGCTGGCTCACAGGACCACACCCCTTCATCTTTACTGGGCATGGTCAAGGGTTTGTCAAGATAGCTAGACCAATGGACATTCCATCATTCAAGAGTTCCCATTGTCCTACCTCTTCACTGTCACTGGACATTATCAGAGCTTAAGTATTCTAATCTGGTGAGCCTATGTGGTATCCCACTCTGGTTTGAGTGGCATCTCCCTGATCATTAGAGGAGGTGGGCACTTTTCATGTATTTATTGGCTGAGTGGATTTCTTCCTTTGTTAAGTGTCCATTCTAATCTTTCTTCTTGATCTAACCTTTCTTTGGGCATTCCTTTAACTGATACTTAATGAGCATCTAAAACTGCATTAGTGCTAGGCAGTCAGTGATAAAGAGGCAGCTGTGGGTCACTCTTGGGGCCTTACAGTCTTGCCACACAGGTTGTTGGAAGCACCAAAGGTCAAACAAGAATAGCGAGTAGGTCCTCGGTTTATTTATACCCAAAGGACTTAAAATCAGCATACTACAGTAATGCAGCCATGTTAATGTTTATAGCAACTCAATTCACAATAGCTAAACTATGGAACCAACCTAGGTGTCCTTCAATAGATGAATGATAAAGAAAATGTGGTATATGTATTCAATGGAGTATTACTCAGCTTTAAAGAAGAATGAAATTATGGCATTTGCCAGTAAATGGATGGAGTTGGAGAATATCATGCTAAGTGAAATAAGCCAATCTCAAAAAACCAAAGGTCAAAGTTTTCTCTGATATGTGGATGCTAATTCACAATAAGGGGTGTGTGGCACTAGAGAAGAATAGAATTACCTTAGAGGGAAGTGAAGGGAGGGAAGAGAAGGGAGATAGGAAGGATAGTAGAATGGAAGACATTATCACTGTATGTATATATGTGACTGCATGACCAATGTGATTCTACAACATGTACACTCAGAAAAATGAGAAATTAGATCCCATCTATGTATGATATATCAAAGTGCATAAATGCATTCTACTGTCATGTATAACTAATTAAAACAAATAAAAAATTCAAAAAAAAAAAAATGAATAGCGAGTAGGAAGGAGTAAAGCACGCCCCAGGGAAGGCAGAGGTCAAGTGCAACTCAAGCGAGAGACAGCACTGTGCTCACTTGTTATCCCTTCAGTCATGATGTCCGTCATCTTGCAACAGGAGGAGAGCATCCTCATGCTTAGCTGGTCCACCACCAGCACCTGGAAGAAAAGAGAATAGCTTGTGGCGTCTGCCGGGAGTCTCGCCAGCTCCCTGCATCAGGCTTCACAGAGAGCACCTGGGGTAGGGGAATGTGGGAGGAGCCACATTTCCTGTGGACCACAAGTCTGCAGAGTCCCACATCCAAACCTGACCTTCCAGGAGTCAGCGTCTGCTCTTACTAACTTGACTTAATTTCAAAAACCTTTAAAAAGTAGTTTCCTTTCCAGCTAGGTATGGTGGTGCAGGCCTATAATTCCAGCTACCCAGGAGACAGACAGAGTCAGGCAGATCACAAGTTTGAGGCCAGCTTGGGCAACTTAGCAAGACCCTGTCCCATAATAAGATATAAAACAAATAAAAAGGCTGGGTATGTAGCTCATAGGTAGAGTGCTTGCCTAGCAAGCACAAGGCCCTGGGTTCAATCTCCAGCACTGGAAAAGAAAAAAAGTAGTAGAAAATGAGTACTTGTAAAAAAAAAAATACAAAAAAGAAAAAAGAAAAGTGTTGAGGGTTATCATCTGTAGTGCTAACACTCAGAGATAATCATATTAGTGACTATTTTTCAGGGCACAGCTTATTCTTTGTTTGTAGGGAAGGGGTACCAGGGATTGAACCCAGGGCCACTTACCATTGAGCCACATCTCCAGCCCTTTTTATTTTTTCTTTCTTTCTTTTTTTTTTTTTTTGTTTAAACTCAAGCTTAAAAAAAATTATATATTTGTAGACGGACAGCATGCCTTTATTTATTTATTTTTTTATGTGGTGGTAAGAATCGAACCCAGTGCCTCACACATGCTAGGCAAGTGCTCTGCCACTGAGCTACAGCCCCAGCTCTTAATTTTTTATTTTAAGTCTGGATTTCGCTAAATTATTGAGGCTGGATTCAAACATGCAATCCTCCTGCCTTAGCCTCCCAAGTTGTGAGGATTACAGGCATGTGCCACCACACCTGGCCAGAGCCTTTTCTTTCTTTCTTTCCTTTTCTTTCTTTTTATCCTTCCTTCCTCCCTCCCTTCCTTCCTTCCTTCCTTCCTTTCTTTCTTTCTTTCTCGGGAGGACTCGGGACTGAAAAGTCAGGGGCACTCGACCACTGAGCCACATCCCCAGCCTTCTTTTGTATTTTATTTAGAGACAGGGTCTCAATGAGTTGCTTAGTGCCTCGCCATTGCTGAGGCTGGCTTTGAACTTGTGATCCTCCTGCCTCATCCTCCTGAGCTACTGGGATTACAGGTGTGTGCCACCATTCCCGCCTTAGCCTATTCTTAAGAGAGAGAGATCCTAGAGTCCACACGTATGGCATGGCACATAAGGACTCTGTCTAGATGTCCTGCTCTGTGCTTCACCCTGCAAAGCTCAGCTGACCCTTCTCATCCTCGTTCAGTCCACAGTGGATAGAGGGAGCCATAAGTTAAAACAAGGCAATTTATCTTCTCCTTAATGATGTCAGCTGTGAAGGAAGCAATGAAAGCCAGGCACATCAGGGCAGATGTGTGGACCCAAGAGCTCTCTCCTGCAGTACAAGGGCCACTTAGTTTCATTTTCTTCCTTGAGAATAGCTTAAACCCCCCATGTCTACAAATCCATTTCTGGTGGGAAGGTAAGAGAAAGAGATGTGCATACAGAGTCCCTCCAGCTGGCCTCCCCTCTGGGTGGTGAGAACAGATGTGTTCACTAAAGCAGAATAACACAAGGCCGGAGTGGGCTTCAGAATCTTCCTGTACCAAGTAGCTCTGTTTTTCCCAGGTCCAGTGAACCTGAACACGTATGGGCTCTTGACTACTGGCAACTTGAGGGCAGAATAGCCAGTGTAAACCACATGGGGAAGATCAAGTAAAATGGCACACTCTCCTGGCCAGCATGAGGACCAGCTCCAGACGACTAAGCAACATTTACAATGTTGACAATGTGCTGGGTGTGGTGACGCACACCTATGATCCCAGCTACTTGGGAGGCTGAGGCAGGAGGATGTCAAATTTTTCCCCAGCCTGAACAATTCAATGAAACCCTGTTTCAAAATACAACTTAAAAAGGGCTGGGGATGTAGCTCAGTACTATAGTGCTCTCCTAGCTTGCACAAGGCTCTAGGTTCAATCCCTAGCACTACAAAATAAATAAATTAATAAAAATAAAGATAATACAATGCTGGCAACATGCACAGAAGACAGCACAGCCATTCCAGGAACCCAGGCCATTTGCAGTCTTGTTGGCTTCAGTGCTTGCTCCCGTGCGTGTTATGGTTTCTAGTCCTGTGCTCGCTGCTTTGTGATCCATTCTACCTCTTTTGTCTTATGTAGTTACAGCTCGAAGGGAAAGGGCAGACTAGACGGGGGCTTCTCTACCTGTTGTTTGGGCTCCTGGAGATGCTTTATAGCCACCAAACAAGTAAGAAGAGTGTCTCTTTCTCCTCTCCCATAGAACACGGAACAAATGCACCTTCCATTTTATCTAACAGGTTCCAGTTGAGATTTTGTTTGATAAAAGAGTTCCACTGCTCACTGCCCGGCCAGGTGATCTTTTTCTTTTTTTGCACTGCTGGGGATCAAAGCCAGGGATACTCCACCACTGAGTCACATCCCCAGCCTCTTTTTATTTTTATTATTATTATTTTTATTTTGAGACAGAATCTCACTAAGCTGCCCAGGCTGTCCTTGAACTTGTGATGCTTCTGCCTCAGCCTCCTGAGTCACTGGAATTATAGGCATGTGCCACCATGCCCAGCACTGACTAGGTGATCTTTACAATAAGCTTTACAACCAATAAATTCTGAACCAAGATCCTATAAAATGGAAGGCAGAGCAGGTCACTTTCTCCAATCCAGGAGCTTTTTGCACCTCTGGTGACAGTAAGAGCCCCCATTCCTGTCAAAACCTTCCCTCCAGCTCTACTACCCTTCTTATTTTTCCCTTATGAATTCACTTTTAGGGCTGTTTTACTTACCTTCCACTCCCCCTTCTTCTTCACCTTCTTTATCACATCATGCATGATCTCTAAGGAGGGAGGGAGGGAAGGAGGGAGGGAGGGGGGGAGAGAGAGAGAGAAAAAGTCATTATCCCTTTGATTCCATACGTGCCTATTAGACTAGGTTATTTGCTCTTAGGCTTTGTTCTCAAATCCTATGATTGCACCAATCTGTCAACTGAGTCAATCCACCCACCATAAAGAGAGTTCTCTTAATTCAGTGGTTCTCAAACTTTCTGGCCCAGGACTTCTTTATACTTTTAGAAACTGAGGCCCCCAGACAGTGTCTGTTTATGTGAGTAGATATCCATTGGCATTTGCCATATGAAGACTTAAACTGAAAAAGTTCAAAAATACTGATTCATTTAAAACAATAATAAACCCATTGTATGTTTAACAAATAGCATTTTAATGAATAGTAATAATATTTTCCACAATAAGAAATCTTAGGGATAGCTGAGTGCAGTGGCACATGCCTGTAATCCCAGTGATTTGGGAGGCTAATCCCAGAGGATCCCAAATTCAAGGATATCTTCAGCAATTTACCAAGACCCTCAGCAACTTAGCAAGACCCTATCTCAAAAAAAAAAAAAATATAGAAAGAGGTCTGGAAATGCAGCTTAGTGGTAGAGTGTCCCTGGGTTCAATCCTCAGTAACACATACACTCACACAAAGAAAGAAATCTTATGGAGATTAGCAGTGTTTCGCATTTTTGCAGGCCTCCTTAATGTCTGGCTCCACAGGAGATAGCTGGATTCTCCTAGATGCATTTGCAACCAATCTGTCCTGAATCATGTAGCATCTGGCAAATCCACTCTCAAGTGAAGAGAATGGAAAAGGAAGCTGGGCACAGTGGGTACACCTGTATCCCAGTGACTCCGAAGGCTAAGGCAGGAGGATCACAAGTTTGAGGTCAGACTCAGCAATTTAGTGAGAGCATGTCTCAAAATAAAATATAAAAGGACTAAGGATGTAGCTCAGTGGTACAGCATCCCTGGGTTTAATGCCCAGTAACAAGCTAACACCCACATACTCACTGCGGTAAACTTGAAAAACACAGAAAATTATAAAGAAGAAAATACCATGCATTATTTAGATACTTAAAAATAATAATAAATAAAAATCATCTGTAATCCTGCCAATTTGAAATGCTTAATTAACATTTTAGCTTATTTCTGATTAGGTTTCTCTATGTGCTTTTACACAGTTAAGATCATGTTGTATATATAATTTTGTATTGTGTTTTTTTCACTTCACATAGTCATTTTCCTACATTAATAAAAACGGTTCCTGCATAATAGTCCATGGTTTAGTCAAGAATATTCCCAATAGTGTTTTAAATTATGTCTCATGTTTCTGTAGTGAAAAAATTGGAAACAAACAAAATATATCCAATAGTACAGCAGTGGTTAAGAGAATCAGGTTACATTTGTGCAATGGAATCCTATGTGTCCATTAGAAATAGCACAAGGGAAAACACACATTCCTGCATCCACTCTCATTTCCCAAACCCCTGTTGCATAACCACTGTTTGCCGCTCACTGTACCAGGAAGGAGTGATTAAGGTGTGCTCAGCTTCCAGGGCCGCCGTGCAGTGGAGAAGCAGCACTGCATCAAGGCAGCAGTCGGAGCTCTGGAGAGTGAATAAGCACAGGCAGGACAGCTCTGGACAGGAGAGCAGCCACTCTGAGGGGAAGCCCGGAGGAAAGGAGATGAAGAAGCAGGAGGGAGGCTTGGGGCAGGCGTGACTGGGCAGTGGACAGGGGTGAGGGGGGGGTGGATGTGATACTGACATCAGAGGTGAAGCCATCAGGGCTGCTGGTGCCCTGGGACGGGCAGAGAGAGAAACAAGGGTGTCTCCGAGATGTGGGTCTTAGGAAACCAATGGAGAGACATGTGGAGAGATGGAAGGGAGGAGAGTACCCAGAGTTCTATTTTGGTTGTTTTTAGACCGGGACGGCTAAGAGATATCAAGAGAAGACGTTGGGTAGGTAGTTGTAAGTATTTCTGAGGCTTGGAAGAGTGACTTTGGCCGTAGTTAAAAACTGGGGAATAATCACCAAACAGGACAGGAGGTAAGGTTGGAGAAAACCCCTTGCTCTGATAGGATCAATAAGATGAGGGTGAAAACATGATCTTGTCCTTGATGAGCCTTTCAGTGAGACAATGAGGTGGATGCAGACTAAAGGGGGGAGGAGAAAGAAGACAGGCCATCTCTGCAAGTTTTGCTAAAAGGTTGCAGAGAACAACTAATTAGGAAAACTAATAAGATACTCAGAGATGTAAAAGCAAGACAGGGCTTGTTTTTAAAGTTGTGAGAGTAGAGGACTGGGGTTGTGGCTCAAAGGTAGAGCTCTCGCCTACCATGCATGAGGCACTGGGTTGGATCCTCAGCACCACATAAAAATAAAATAAAGACATTGTTATAACTAAAAATAAATATTTAAAAAGTCACGAGATTATTTTTTATGAAACTAGCAATAAACCAAAAAAGAGGACAGAAAGAAAGACTGAGGTCCCCAAGAGGAAGAAGGAGTTGAATCTGAAATAGAAGAGACCCTGACCTTGGTAGGAGGCAGGGGACCATGTGACACCCACACTGGTGGGAGGCAGGGGGCCTGCAGATGGGCTCAGATAAGAGGTACAGCAGCATCATGAGGGGTTTTCCTCACTGGAGATGAAGTTATCAGCTAAGGTCGGGGGTCGTATAGAAGATTTGAAGAAAGAAAGTTCTGGGCTGGGAATCCAGCTCAGTGGTAAAGTGCTTGCCTAACATGCTCAAGGCCCTGTCAATCTCCAGTACTGCCAAAGAAAGAAGGTACCAAATATCTTCCCAGAGACAGAGACAGTGAATTCACTATGTTCTAGCATTTCTGGACAGTTCTTTTGATTATGTATTTATTTATTTACTGGGGATTGAACTCAGGGCCTTGCATGTGCTAGGCATTTCTGGACAGTTCTAAGGAATAATTTCAGGTTCGTAATTATGATTTAAAGTGAAACCAGTCAGTTTAATTATGCAGGTTTGCTTTTTCCGCCCCAACAATGCCTAACTGTCCATATCAAAAAGGAAAAGGCAATTTATTTCCATTAAGGTTAGGGTTTTCTTGGGTAAGAACAACAGAGGGAGAAAATGTGCAAACTCTATGGCTACAGGAGGGAAATCAGGCTCCAACTATTTCCTTTAAAAGCAGACACACGGGGGTGGGGGTGGGGGTTGTGGCTCAGCAGTAGAGTGCTCGCTTAGCGCATGCGAGACCCTGGGTTCGATCCTCAGCACCACATAAAAATAAATAAATAAAATAAAGGTACTGTGTCCAACTACAACCAAAAAAAAAAAAAAAAGCAGACACAGACATACATAGGACAATTAGAAAACTTATACCACAATGTTTTGTTTTGGTACTTGGGACTGAATATAGGGGGACTCGACCACTGAGCCACATCCCCAGCCCTATTTTGTATTTTATTTAGAGACAGGGTATCACTGAGTTGCTTAGTGCCTGCCTGGCTTATGTTGAGGCTGGCTTTGAACTCACGATCCTACTGCCTCAGCCTCCCAAGCTGCTGGGATTACAGGTGTATGCCACTGCGCCCGGCCCACAATGTAATTTTTGTGAAGTAATATTAATATAAATTTTGTGAAGTAAATATTATATTATTTTGTGAAGTAATATTATTAATTATTAATTAATAATTAATCTTCAGTTGCCAATTTGTACCTTCCAATATCCCAAGCTTTCTGCATACAAAAAAAGCTCTGGATAATGTGTCAGTGAACATCTTTGTCCCCAGGGTTCTTCTTTGCACAGATCTGTCAGGAGAGCTTTCTGTGCATGGAATAAATGCATGAAAAGTCTAAATGTTCTGGGCTTCTGATAAACACTGCCACATTCTTTTCCAAAAACATAACACACTCTCACCAATACTGTATGATTCTCCAGGTTAACTACTAACCCATTCAATAATTCCTTGAGGTTTGTCTGTTTTAATTCCTGCTACTATGAAAGCAGAAATGGCATAGTTCTTGGTCTTTAATTTGCTTTTTGTGGTATTAGGAATTGAATTCAGGACCTTGCGCATGCTAGGCAAGTGCTCTACCCCTGAGCTATATCATCAGCCTTCTCTGTCTGACTTTATTTGAACTTATTTTATTACTGAGGGTGTGTGTGTGTGTGTGTGTGTGTGTGTGTGTGTGTATACACTAAAAATTAAATGCACTGGAAAAATATTTTGCTCAAGACATCTTCTGATTGGGGAAGGCAGAGATATAATCAGAAAATCAAACCAAGTACCACAAGTATTAAAAGACATAAATAACTGCTGCAGCTGTAATTCTTCCTACAAAGTTATTTCCTTTCCAAAATTCTAAGAGTATATATTTGTCCTGGGTATTATTAACAGCCAATTCTAACCCTGCCCTACATTTTTTAAAATCCTATACCAAAAAAGGAAACAAGGATTAGAGACCATTTTAGCATTAAGAATCAAGTTGCCTGAGCTACCTTCTCCCATATAATCCCTGGCCATCACATTCCCTCTCCTTCCTACATCCTCTTTATGTGAAGAAAAACAACAGAGCTTTCTGGAGCTGCTCCAGACAAGAGGCCCAATTTCTGCACACCAAACCATGTGCCTCTACAGCCTCCTCTCCCACCCACCTGGTTGACACATATGTGTTTGAAGATTCAGGGGCGCTTCCATCTCTCCGTAATAAGGAAGTCCAAGACCCTGTTGGACCCTGCTTCCTTCTTGGCCAAGAGGAAGGAAAGTAAGTCCTTCTCTACCACATCCTCCAGGTCCTGTGATTCTGAACTCAGCACACCCCTCCCCAGTCCTGAGAGACACAGCGGGGTGGTCTGAGGTTACCTAAGACATCTTCAGATGCACCCAATATCACAACTGGAGTCCCCAAGGCAGGATCTAGGATCACTGCAGGGTCCACTCAAGGCCTGTGGCACCTCAAAAACCTCACCCTTATGGCCCAGGGAGTCAATACAACCACCCAGCACTGTGCCGCGTGCCAAA